AAAAATGATAAATGGTAAACTTTTTGTGGTTTTAACGACAAATCAAAATCTAACCACAAAACGATACAGGCATATATAATGCACAAGCCCAACTTATTTCATTATATAAAAAACAAAGTAATTAGTGAAAATACCATATTCGATGAATTGTAATAGAAAAAAAAATTGAACGAAAGAAATTCCAACGTTCACAATTCTCATAATTATAAAATATTTTATTTATCTTGAACCTCGTACGTTGTCTACTGTTCAACTTTCTTTGCTCTGCCATTGCACCGTACAATATAATGTTCGGAAAACATCCTATTTATATAGTCAACAGATAAATTATTTCAAAAATAACCATTATACGAATAAAAAAAAGGATTGAGATCAGATAGGGTTCAAATTGCATCCGAAAAATTAGAAAATAAAAGTTGACATTAAACACAATATGCTTCATAAGTTAGTAAGTTCTTGTTAATTTTTTTAATACAACACGCAATCAATTTATTGTCGTAGTTTCCATTTCATATGCAGACTTCGTGGACACGATTTTTTAATATTCGTGTTAAAAAGTACAATGCATATATATCTTAAGACGTTGGCAAATGACAGCCATTAATCATTAGACCGAATCACCCGCCATTTCCATCAATACCTGCAATTTTCAAAATAAAATTACAGAAAAATATCTTGACATGAGAAATTGCTTGAATATTGCATCAAATACGATTGAAAATTTCTCGAAAACTACGACAATCTTTTTTATTAAGTTAAAGATTAATTATACATAAATATCAAACAGCAGCATCACATGTATTGTAAATAGAAATAAAAAATTTATTCACACGCACACACACACACACACACATGTATATATATATATATATATATATATGAATATATTTTTATTTTTTGTATATAATTTTAGGTTATATGTTGTATATTTATTTATATTTTATTGTATGTATATTTAGTTTATATAGATATATAATTTAATTTAAATTAGACACAATAAAATTATCTGACATTCATAAACCGTCTTTTATTACGTATCTCAAAATATTAATCTATAAATTCATTAGAATGAAAATTATTCAGTCATGCTTTATAACTGTTTTCTTTTAAGCTTTCTAATAAGTCGTGATTTCTCCAATTTTAAAGCTAATTTATGAATGTTATAGATGTAAGGAGCACTTGTAGGACAAAAATTGAATATTTACGAATCTAAAGGTAATATATTCAAGACGTTTAAGGAACTATGTTTGGTTAATTGTTTACAAATTTGTAAGAACAATTTACTTTAAAAGGATGATTTTAAGGAATGTCATTGGAATATTAGTTTTAAATAAGTATAATACGGCAAACTGCTCCACTTATGTTTATGCGCCAATTGTCTGAAATTTATAAATTAAATTAATTTGATGAAATATTTCCATTTGTCTTATCCTTAATCAACGTTTGTAAATTAGAAATTTAACATAAAATAACTATTGCACAAAACTAAAAAGCTCGCTTTTTATAACAAAAACTTATATTTTTAAAATAATCGCAATATCAACTTTTCCAAACACCTATAATTTCTTAATTAATCAGAATTATTATTGATAAGTAAGTAATAAATTCTTAGAAAAAATCCAAAGTATTATATATAAGGAGATTCACGACATTGAAAAAAAAAAAAAAAAAAAAAAAAAATTTAATCTAAGATTTGAATTTTTTTTTATTTTATGTAACATAAGATATAAAAAGAAAATATGTTTAGTGATTAAGATAAAATAGATTAGCTGGGGACCAACAACTCAAACAACACTTATTAACTCGCTCGTTTATGTCAAAGTGGATATATTCAATACGGTAAAAAAAAAAAAAATTACTCTACTTTATAACTAATTCTTTTTGTTTTTGTTTTGTGCTTCCCTTAAATACTCTCAAAGCATTGTTTATAATATCGTGAAAAATAAAATTTCCAATGTGATTCAGTCCTCAATACAATTATGGATATTGTTAATTAATATGAAAACAATGTCAATCACGAAAAAAACAGACTAATTTTATTATATTTGAATTTTATTGTTATTTATATTTTTCGCAAAAAGATTCGATTTTTTTTTTTGTTTTTTTTCTTTCATATTTCGTTCTATTACTGTCAAGCCTTTATTCAATTCGATTGCTTGTGATTTATAATAAGATTGTAATTGATATTATTTTATTCCTATTTTATAATAATAAATCCTTAGATAATTAATTTTATTGCATATTTTATGTGTAAAATTTTAATAATTCTTGATTTTATTATTAAACTTTTCAAAAGAAAAGTAAATATTTAAAAGTATAAAACATTGATTCATTCAGCAATTCTCGTTATCATAAACTTTTAATGCATTGTTACAAAAACTTAACATTGTTCTATTCTTATAAAATCGTTAATATTTAATAATGCAGTTTTAGGTTATATAAACATGGCAATTGATATAAATAATAGGTACGAGATAAATCTACGAAGTTTTTTTCATTTTAACTACGAGAAAAATATTAAAATCAGGATTATTGGATAAAAGAACAAGGAAGCTAACAAGTTTAAAATAAATGATCTAACGTTCTTTTGCACCTGCGTTAAGAATGTCTCGGGACCGTACCTGAAGCTTACAACTATTTTACCATATTAGACTAGACACTAACACGTGTTCTTACTTAAATGGTCCACTTATTGGTTGTTGCACTCTTATACTTTACATCTTACATAATTCGTGAGAAAATTACCTTCAAGAAAATAATGTGGATCTTCTCCCGCTCGTACGGTTTACAAGTTACAGAGTATGGGCTGTGACAATAGTTAACAAATACCATGTATTAAATTGTTGATAATTTATGGTTGTTTTTATTATAGTATTATAATTTATTAGAAGAAATGAAATTTACTAGCAAAGTAACACTACCATGTACTGCGAGATTGGGTGTGTTGTCGGAAATCGAAAGACTGCCAAATTTATCTTATCAAACGCCGTTACTGCTTATATATACAAAAGTACGTATTTAAAAAAATATTTGGTAGAGTATTCGGCGATTGCCATCTTTTTTCAGATTTCAATGTTTGCTGAGAAAGCAAAAAAATCATGCTTAAAACCTGAGTTGCAGTGAAATAGTATTTGCTTAAAACTTATAAAATGCAAAACAATCAATGCATAGAATGTAGAATGTAATAATTATAAATATGTTAATAGTTTTGTATTTGTAAAAAGAAAATCTGTTTCAAATTTATTATTATATTGTTTATGGATGGCAATAATTTAATACTCTTCATTATTTTTACATAATATTGATGAAACAAAATTGCTCAATTATTAATTGAATAAATAATTAATATAAAGTTAATTATTCATCTATAATCAAAAATTTTTATTCAAATATATCTTTCCATTATTTATATGTTTGTTCTTGTTTCAGAGAGGTTGCATTCCACATTTGTGCAAGGATGTTTTTAAAATGTTGTCGCCAGAAAAATGTTTCTTATTAGCATCGTTACCATCTACATTACTCATGGCAGAATACATTAAAGAGTTCAATCATTTCAGTGAATACGTGAGTATGGAGGTATGTGTCTTTTCTAAAAAAAAATCTTTGCACAAGCTAATGCGACATAATAGATACGATACAAAGTTGTAATAAATGTCATATTATAATAAACGTACATATATGTTTCAAAATTTTAATTATAAAATAAATCTTATGTACTTTATATTTTAGGAATATCCATTATTCTTAACCATACAAGATCCAGCTGAATGTACAAAGTCCGGCTTCCACAAACATGATTCCATTTCTGTATGGTCGAGAAATGGAAGACTTTCTATTAATCCAGACCGTTATATGAACGTAGTAGAAATTTTTAAACCCGATATGTACGTCAGCTTGTGCGATGGAGATACGGATAAAAATAGTAGTCAAAAGAGAATAAATAAAGCCATAGAGAAAAGTAAAAATTTCTTTGATAAATGTATGCAAAGGCACGTGGAATCCAATGTATTAAAGAATAAAGGTTTCTTGGCACCTATAGAAGGAGGTTATAATCTACAAGCGAGAGAAAAGTGTATTAAATATATGAAGGATAAGCCAATTTTAGGGTACATAATCGATGGATTACACAAAAACGGCATAGATACGCAAAATATTTACTTTGACGAGATTAAACATGTCATTCAACATTCCCTTGTAAGTCAATATTTCAAAAAGTAAAATATTCTTTATTTATACTTTAACTAGTAATTGTATTCCCGCATTGTATTGTGCACTTTTCAGAATTTACTTCCTGGAAATAAACTTAGAATAATGTTAGGTTGTTGGAATCCATCGGCTGTATTAGATTTAATTAATTTAGGTGTTGATGTTTTTGATTCGACCTATCCTTTTATGATGACAGAAGAGAAGAAAGCATTGTTATTTTCATGTACTTCATGTACACATCAAGAACAACAGTTTGTAAATCTTTCCTTTAAAAAGTATTGGAAGTCAATAAATAAAATTTTTAAAAATATTCATTCAATATTTTATGCAATTTAACTATTTCAACATTTTAGATATAGAGATAATTTTACTCCTATTTGTAAGTCATGCCACTGCGCGACATGTAAAAATTATACCAAAGCATATATACATCATCTTATTCAAGTTAAAGAATTATTAGCACAAGTGCTTTTAATGATGTATGTATTCACCTTTTGGCACAATTAAAACTTTCAATTTTCAAATAATTCTTAAATTATTCTTCAATAATAATATACTTTTAGACACAATGTTCATCATTATATTGAATTCTTCAAGACTGTTCGGATACATATAAAAGATGGGACATTTCAAGAATATAAAAATAAAATCCAATCAAAGTATTCAATGCAAATGTAAAACTTTTAAGTATTTCTAATGGAAACTTTAGTACAAATTATTGTTAAAATTTAATTATTAAATAAATTTATATTTCAATCGACTTTTTTTTCAATTATTATTTAAATCTCAGTTTGTAAACTGAATAATTTTTATTTGATTAGATTTTGGTTTATTTAAATTTTAAATGTATATTTACATTGAAATTTATGTAATTTTATTTCTAAGTTATGCTAAAAATTAAAATTCATCTGCATATATTGTTTATTAACTATAATTCAGATAAATTGTTTTAACAAAGAATAAGCTTATGAGATTACTTGCACATTATTCTATATATATATATATATATATATATATATATATATATATATATAAATTCGTAGCTTTTACAAAATGATTCGATAATACAAAATTATTAATAGAAACAACTTAATCGCTATTAGTAATATATGATAATATTACAATACAATCGTTGAAACTGTTAATTTAAATATTTTCTTTATTTAGAAATTACATTACATTACATGAAAATTACTATTTTCTGCAACATTAATGCATTTAGATGAATTATCTTAAAAAGAAAACTAGATAATTGTATATATCATTATGATATAATATTATCAAGTTGAATGTACACGAAATATACACGAGCCTCAAAACAATTGTTTATAATTACTTTGAAAATAAAAATAACATATTTTCATCTCACGAAAATAAAAATATTTCAAAATTTTGTACAATTAGCATAACTGAAAATTTATTTTAATGATTACATATTTGATCAAAAAAAAAAAAAATTTTTTAACTGTAGATATTACAATAAATAAATTTTAATTTTTTCGTCTTAAACGATATAATAATTTATCATTAAAATTTGTGAATTAGGAATAATATTTCATATAAAAGGTCGATTTAATTAAAATCCGATTACAAAATCACTAATAATAAATAAACTTAAATATTTAAAAATTCTAATATCAACATTACAATAATAGCTTTATTATGTTTGAACTTGATAAACATAATTCTATTGAAAAACTCCCAAGTTTTCTTACGCAATGATAATTATTGTACACAATTAATTGACTTTCCAATTATCAAGAGACGTGAGATTAAAAATAAAAAATATTATCTTATACGATACTTATTTGCTAATCAGGTAAATAGTTTGGGTCCAAGTAGTTGTACGAAGTAGTACTAAAATTTTGTGGAAGATAATCGGTGTCATGGTACTTTGAATATTTCGGTGGTCGTACAACTTCGAGCTTGTGGGTTGAAGGATGAATGGGATCTTCAGCTTCTAGTTGAGCTATAGCACAATCTGAGCACAAATCAACTTGTTCTTGACACTCTTTGCAATGCCATCTTATATGTTTTATAGGCGCTTCGCCACAAATATAACACTTAAAAAAAGAAAAATAATATCCGCGATTTAATAGATTGTAAATGCAGGATTTTAAATTTGAAATAGTAGAAGCAAGTCGTTAAGAAATATATTATAATATATTTCTTATTTTAAATCAATATTTATAAACCTGTCTATTTACACCTTGGATTTTGCACAATAAGTAAAAAAATTAATTCTTATGCATTAATTAGAATTCTTATAAATATATAAATAAATTGTAAATATTATTAAGTTAATAAATATGTGATTGTATAAAGTTATCTTGTTTTTGATTGTGAAATAATAAATATATTATAAAGTATGTCAATTCAACCTTATATCCAAAATGTAGATAAGTTGATTCTTTACTATTATATTTTTCAATTTTAACTTGTCGTAGTAATTCCATTTGGCTTAGCTCATCGTTATCACCATTATTATCAGGAGTATCCACTAAATCATCATCATCCTAAAATTTAAAAGTAAATTATTTAATAATATAGTATTTAATTTAATAATTCTTCACGATCTTTCAAACACTTTTATCCGTAAATTGTATTCAATTATTTTCATCAATCATTGTAAGCTAATGTACAGTTCAAAATTAATTATTTTTGTTTAGGAAAGAAAGTATTTCAATGTGTTATTAAAATTAATAACGAATTAACCAACAAATATATTCAATGAAAATTAAACTTACAGATTCATCTTGACTAGGTTCTCTCTTAATTTCATCAAGAATTTGCTCGTGTGGAAAAAATGTTGATTTTCGAAAAGATGTATAATTACTTTTGTGACGACTGGAACTTTTTCTTATTTCACTTTTCATTTTTGGTCCTCTGCCTGGAATAGGCAGCCCAGCCTTCATAAGTTTGATAAAATATTTTTGTACTCTACTCGATACTTGCTTTGGTGTACGATTTCCTATAATATATAATTGCAATTTACATTTATCGATATACTTTATTAAACATTGAACTTGTTTATAATATAATTTTAATGCTACATTATACATTGTTTGATAAAATTCCTTACCCAGAGCATTAGCAATTTTAGTCCATCTTCTCATCTCTATATCTTCGGGAGGATATTTAATCAGCAGTTCCTCTAATCGCCTTTGTTCGTCCGTTGTCCATAATTTGTTGAAAGTTTCAGGTTTAGTTTCATCAAATGTCCTACCTCTAACGAGCAGTTTATTTGAATTGTCTTCAAACTTGATATCTTTAGGTTGAGGTGTATTCTTGGCATTACGAGTTTGTGGCCTCATGTTGTTATCGGGTTGAGCCACATTATATTTAGACCAATCGATTTCCGGCAGCTCGGGTATCTTCTGTGGTCCAGGATACTCTGGCAGATCCCCATTTTGTAATTTAGCAACATAAGCTATTGGATCTTCCAGTGCCTGTTTCTTAGCCAACAACAACACGTCCAGGTCCTTAATAGCCTGCGTGCGTTGCGCTTGAAGAGTAACTATGACTTTAAGCAGATCCCTGTAATCCTTGTTACCTTTTAAAGCCAAGTGATCGGATTCAAAGTAAAAATTATCCTCGGGATCGATAGTTTCTTCCTCGTGGAAGACGGACTGTGTTTTTTCAATAATCGGGGCGTCGGGTGGCCGACTTCGAGGGAATAACGCCTCTTTATAATTGGGTGTAAAGGCTTCTTCGGCATCGTAACCCGTCAACACCTCTTTCGGGATGTCCGACAATATATCTTCCAACGTCTCGTCTTTAGACATTGCTGCACACACGTCAGCGCTACTCTCCGATTGTCAATGCATTTTCAATTTCGCAGACCACCTGTACAAAAGCTTACTTTTATTCACCTTGAAACGCTTATCGAAGCCGGTTAAACATCATCCATACGTAATGTCAACAATGCACTACGTCGGCCCTTAGTCCGGCGACCCGAAGCGTCGATTGTGATGCGACGTTGTGACTTCCCTCTTTCCTCTCTTCTTGTCATTTCGTCGCGCCTTAATTTTCTTCCAAAATGTGCTCGATGGCAGAAGTAGTACTACTACTGCCCGATCCCCCTCCCCCTGCTCCAGAATTTCCCCCACCAACCCTTAAACGGAATGGAACGCTCGCGTTGACGATGTTGTTAAAATTTAAATCCAACGGTGGTTCGAATGACACATGGCAACGCGATAGTGCGGAGCGGAACCAGGATAAAAAAAAACGAAAAACTCTTTGGTTTTTAAATGAAAGTAAGGGGAATAAATATGGCTAACTGTCGCGAGACTCTGGTAATTTTGTACGCGCAACTTTTCAAAATTAACGCCGTTGAACACATCGAATGGAGCGTAAACTAAGCCATTCCTCTGTACGTTTAATGCGTATAAGAATGTTTTTGTAATTATTTGAATAAATATCTTGTTTTTTACTTTATAAAACAGAGTCGTCAATTTATTGTACGTCGACATTTCATTATAATTTCATGCTAATTGGTTATATTAATATTGTACTTACAATGGAATAGGCACAATGTTCAGAAGGAAAATTTATTATTTGAAAATGATTTTAAATTCCTTTATTTTATCATTAAGCCATTGTATCTAGTCTGTTGTAATATTATTTGTGACAAAATTTTATTTTGAAGCACATTATCGCCTAACAATTGTACCGTGTACATTTACTTTCTTTTGTCTTATTAGCCTATTATCGGTGCGATTTTATCTCAGAAAAAAAACCAGATATTTTAAAAATCCATACGTACCATGGGAAATGTAGTAAAAATCAAATCTTATTTTCGTTTCAAACGGTATACAATATTTTTACAAAAAACGTAAACCTCGATCATCTTTCCGATTACAATGATTCCAAAAGGTGTTAATCCTCCTAAGAACAAAGGATTCGAGGAAATCAAGCATAGGAATGTCAGAATAAATGAAAATAAATACAAGAATATTTAGAAAAACGTTAGGACAAGCTTTCAAATTACCCGAGAATAATTTTATTGTTAAATTTAAAAAAAAAAATTGACAACAACGAATCATTTGCATATAAAAAATAGCATTGAGCAAAAATTTGTTAGTGAAATAATAAAAAATTTAAACATTATTATTATGATGAATTCTTTAATTAAGCTTAAAGATAAAAAGCTATAGTAAATACAAGTTTTAACTAGCCGTAATCCGGTCATTGTCAAAAACTCTTGGAAAATTATCAGATAGCAACTACATTAGCTACTACTAGTTTATTTGAAATATTCAGATATACCGGTAAGTATTTTTTGTTAATTTTCTAATTTCATTGAAAAACAATAACTATCGAACTTCTTTTTAAACAATGTCCTGTAATGTTATTTAAGTAAACACTATTTAAATACACAATTTGCATAATATAGTAAATTTCTGAAGCGGTTAGAAGGAAGCGCCGAGGCTCTGGAAACTCTATTAAAACTTAGATTACCAAAATTTCCAGTTGCAATGACATATTATCATATAACAAAATAACATGGTAATTGTTATAAATGAGAAAAATTTAAGATCTTTTCAAATATTACGTATCTTACAAACATTAGAATCAACAGATAGTTCTCACTTATTATTTCCAAAAAATCTTAATAAATCTATTTAACATCTTCAAATACATACATAGAGACATTGCTAATGTTAATGTAAATATGGTAAACATATTTAAAAATTTTATAAAAATATTTGTTCTAATAAAATGTAAATACGCAGATTTTAGTGCGAAAAATTTCACACACACACACACATATATATATATATATATATACATATTTTTTTATTTATTTATTTATTATATACTCCATAAAATATTTTTTTTTAATTTTAAAGAAAAAAAAGTAAAAAAAATATTTATTATGCAATGTTCATTATTACTACATAATTATTCAATGAACAAATATCTTTTATAATAATTGAATAATATTAATTTGCTAAGGTATATTTAATAAAATAGCTTATAAAATAATAATGTAGTTTCAAGTTGATAAGAGAATTTTCATAAGATGACTATAGCTGCTATTCATTATTTAATAAATAATAATCATTAATAAGTATTAAATAACTTTCAAACTTATTTTTAATATATATATATATATATATATATATATATATATATATATATATATATATTTTCATATATTTTTTTATTATATAAATATATATATATATATATATATATATTTTCAAATAGCTTTTTCAATTATTAAAATATATAATAAAAATACATAATATAGAATATACTTATATTGTCAAATATGCATTACAGATAAAACAAATTAATTAATTATTTCATCGTGTTTCATTATTTTTCCTTTCAAATAAAACATAATAAAATTAATTTCAATGATTTAACGCTTAATTTTATTTATAAGAGCTCTCATAATTATTACCAAATAAGATAGCCCGAATGATTTGTTTAGCAATGAATATCATTACGCTATTAATTACAACATAAGTCTCAGACTTATACACATTCTCTGATAATAATGGAATATTGATTTTATATAGCTTGTATAAAGTACATAAAATTTACATGTCATTATAAAATATCAAATAAAAATAAGCGACTCGTTTCACCGTGTTGTGTATTATATTAGCATCGTATTGATAAGAGATAACAAGCGTTCATTTATTTTTCTTATTCTTTCTCTTACTTCTTAATTACAGTAATGGTACTCTTTCTACACTGACATTAAAATTATAATAATTAATGACGATTCTAATTATTTTCTCGTGTTGCGTCAACCGTAAAATGAAATATCCTTTTATATTCTCTTCCTTGGTCGCCGGAAATGCATAAGTTTAATCATACATTATTGAAGTATTTGTAATCATTCATTAATTGTATAAATAATGCATGGTAAAGTTGATGAAATTATTCCACTGTTACATTTTCATCCGAGGTCTCAAAAAGTTCATTCTGGAATAACGATCTTGATATTCTGCTGAAAAGTAAAATAAAAAAGTATGTATTTAATGAATTTAATGATTTATTAAACTAAAAACTAGGAAAAAAATTGGGCTTTCTAATTTTATCTTCGAAACATAAAGTGTAAAATTTATTCAAATAAAATTACGGTAAATTATCGTAATATAATTCTGTTATATGATAAAAGATAAAAAAAAATTATGAGTAGTTTTGGCCTCTTTTTTAGTCAAAGCATACTAGCTAGTGAAAAGCAACCGTTCTATTTCAAGTTTGGGAAATAAAACGGTTGTCTACTCAAAAGTCGGTGCAATTTGCCAAGTCGAGAACAAATATAGCGCCCGAATTAGATATGTAGATTTTTCTGAGACTTGAATAATAGAAACAAATAACAAAGACCAGATTAACTTAATCAAATTAATTTAATTGAAATTACGCAAAAATAGAGAATTTGCAATTTTAAATCGTCTAATTTATTTTCATTACACGCTTATTCATTATTTACATTCTAGAATATTAAATATTATTTAACTGTGCTAATTTTTAATAAATTTTCCTAACTTGTTTGTCTTTTTTTCTTCATTATTATATTATTTATATTATTATTGCCACTTTGATCGTTATTCCTACTATCGTTCTCTTCTCTTTCTTTTATTTTGATTATTCGCTTATTAAAAAGAATATAACTCTATTATATATTTACAATACCGAGATGCGTGTAGCAAAGTAGCTTTCATTATTCATTTTTATTGTCACAGTTGAAAACTTGTAAAAAAAAATTTGTTTTTATACTTTTAATGCATTAGGATTTTTTAATTTATTGATTTTTTACAGAAAAGAGCTTCGGATTAAGCAATTTATTTATGTAAATAGGGAAAGTCTATTAGTGGATACAAAAGAGGTCATTGCTTTTCCGTGCAATAAATATGTTGATATATCGCAATAACCTTCACCTTGATACGTAAGTCTACTAAAGAGAAAATATAAGCAAAAAAAATTTTTTAACTATAAGTTATAAAATAATCAATTTTTACTTATATTTTAAACAATGTAGATTCGATGTAAATAAAAAGACTTGATATTTACTGGCGCTTTGAATTCTCCTATAATGTAATTTTACTTTAATATTCTGCAATTAATACAAATCATAATCAATAAATGTAATAACGTACTATTATTACTATTAATTAGTACTATTCATCTAAGATTTGTTAAGAAAAGTTCTTGTGTTAATATAAGACCCAATACACAATGTGCAAATTAAATTTGATTATTTATTAAGCTTCAATTATAATGAAATTGAATTAACAAAAATTATTTAAAATCATTATTCTCTTGATTATAAAATCTATTATTGTTTTTCTAAAATTCTGTATCATAAAATAATATCGATCATAAAAATATTTTAAATATTAATAAAATTTATAAATATATAAATAAAAAAGTATATTCATATATATTAAATATAATGAAACGAAGTCCTAATAATAGTTAATTAATAAATTTCAGGCAGTGCAGGGACCCTAATTATAATCGATATAACAATTATGTAGAATTAACGATAAGAACAGGAAATAATTGACAAAATTTATTTACGCTCAATAATCGTTCGTTTATATAGCAAAGCAAACTTTTATCGCTCGTCTCCATATTTTTATTATATAAAACTAACAATGTGTATTTTTTTTAATTGGAACTCTCAATTAGTTACTTTTTTTTTCAATCATTAGAGCCATGATAAAATTTTTTTAATAATAATACACTTTCGTTGTTTTGATAATAGTCTCGGGTACAAATAAAATTAGATACAATAATTTACAAATATTTTTATATATATTCTTTCATTTAAAGGAAATTTAGATAAATATTTTATGAAATGAAAGGAGAAATGCGATGCGTATTGAGATAATTTTAAAATCAGAGTAAAGTAGGCAGCATGCGCACGTAATATTTTAATTACTAAAAAGAGAATTATTTTGAATGGCTAAAAGAAACAAGATATTTTCATTCCGGGATCTTTGTAGTTATTACTCCTCGTCTTGGCTTTCTACATAGTCAAATATTATGAGATCATATTAAGAATCAGCGACAAATCGACATTTATTTTTAATTAATCCTACTAATCAGTGAGGATCTATCTCGACTTATACAATAAATAAACTTAATGCGACATTGAGGCCTACATTTTACTTACGGGTAGTTAAATCTCTAAATTTTCATTCTCCATTTGTCTATTTTTTTCCTTCGATATTCAATCTGTTATCAAATCGGCTGTAAATTGTCTGGTTTTAACATATTAGTAAGATTACTAACAAATTTTATAAAGATTTAGATAAACACACGAGGTAACTGTGGCAAATCTTACTACTTAGTTATCAATACTATAATAGAAGATCGATTAATGTAAATAATTCAGATAGCCGTCAGAAATTGATTAGCCAGAATAGATTTTTAAGTATTTTTAATTAATTTCATTCAATATCAAATATATAAATTCAATATATATAAAAGGTGAAATATTCAATTACTTGTCCGACAAAAATTAAAAACAGAATATTTTTATTTAGATGCTTTTCAGTTATTTATTTATTATTAAACAAAAAAAATTAGTATACTACTCAAATTTTAAGTTATATTCTTATAATTATGTAATAATAAAATACTAATAATAATGTAATCATTTTCTTACGTTAGACATAAAATAATTATACTTAATGAAGTTAAGAATGCAATTTACCTCATACTAAAATCAAATAAAATTTTAATAGAATTCATTTAATTTAAAAAAAAAAATTTTTTTTCAAAAATATAATCGCTAAATAAATCGGTAATTTGTTTAAGGAACAATTTACCATAATACAGTTAGTATCAATAAATAAATAAATAAAATATACTTTTATATTTCGTATAATTTAATTTGAGAATTACGTTTTTTATTATCTTTTCTGTTTATTTATTTTATCATACTATTTACAATAAAATAATTTTATTTTTTAATACATATAAGCATTTTATCGTTTAACTTCCTGCCTGCTTCTCAATTAAATTATTAATCACGAAATGCATTCAAATTATTATAATATCTCTTTTATTTAAAATTCATATGTAAATGAAAATAAAAATATATTTAAGAAATATACTTTTATGTCCATGAGCACGTACGTAGCACAATATTTTTTTTGTTTGAATTATTTAAAAAGCTTCGTATTTAAATACAACAATTATACATTTCAAAGCTCTTATTTGTTTAATTTATTGGTTTAACATAAATCTTTAAATGAAAAAACGATGAAAAAAAAAAAAAAAAAAAAAATGAAAAATTAAAGTAACTTTCATTTTTATGTATTTAGATCTTAACGATAGACCCAATGAAATTCGCTGGTCATATATGCAAATGCATATCTGTATGATGTAGGAAGTACTAAAGGCAAGAATAATATGCTAAGTGTAAAAAATAAATTTTTCATATACCTATGACTCGGATCATTGAACAAAATTAACGACATTATTTATAAAATATGAATTTTTATGATATAAATGTGTGGAAATGATCATTGAAGTGTGAAACATCATTATTCGATAAATATACAGCCGATAACTGGTCTTTCAATCCGAGTTAAATAAAATAATGTCTGCCGTCAAAATGAACTCCAGCGCAAAAGCACTTAATTACGAATAATACGCCTTTCTTCACACATTACGCAATAAATTAAAATAAATGACTACGGCCTATAGCTTGAAGAAAACGCGACCTTATAACAGTAAGGTAAGGTATGAAACTGCACCTAACGAAAGAAACATCGATGCTTTCCTTCGGCATCATTAATGTCGATGAAGCAAGGAATTTATCTTTATATCGCCATGGATTATTATTCCTTTATTTCAGGCACTCCTTTCCTGAGCTATAAAAATAAAAAAAGAAAGAAAAAAAAGAAAAGAAAAATGCTCGCCAACAGCCAATGCAAGCGCATCGCGCAACCAAACACGATACTTTTTCCCGCAATACCTAAACCTTGGACAAAACTTACTTTAAGCATCGATGGAGGTGGCTGAGGTCGCGGACACATGGACAGATAAAAATTAGGTATCGCCAATCAGCGAAGCAAGCGATTGGCCCGTAGTATCGCATCGGGAGATGAAGTGGTAGAAGATTATCTCCGGGTATTGTTGCCAGGAGGGGGAGAAGATGTCATGTCATACAAATAGTAGCCGGTCGACCTCTTATCAAACGACATCGGCGATTATCCTAGGCAGCGGTGGCGGCGGTGGCGGCGGTGGCGGCGGTGGCGGCGGTGGCGGCGGCAGTAGCGGCGGCAACGACTGGCGATCAGTCGGCGATGGAAAGCCGAGTGGCCGTTGACAAAGTCCTCGCACTCTCGCGCCAAGAGCCGCGACATAAGCCAACGTAAAATGAGGACTGACGGCGAGTTTCGGTAGCCAGAGCTTTTTGGCTGCTGATTTTGACGTCTGTCCGCTACATCGCGCCGCCTGCTTGTGGACTCGTGTGCTTGCCCTGACTTTTCTTCTGTCTTTCGACGAGCTTTGCGCCTTGCTCTTGCTCCAGAATGGCAAAAGCAGAGGAAAAACGCGAGCACGTGGGATTGAAGAAAGAGCTCGGGCTTTTCAGTGCGGTGAGCGTCATTGTTGCCGTCATGATCGGTAAATACTAAATTCTATTCAAATTTCGCTTAAGCTGCCTGCGCGATCTATGAATACGGTCGTTGTGCCTCACTTTCGCCGTACCGAGTTTCTCTTTCCTTTGACCACATCTTACTCCACAATCGTTTCGTTTTATCGAGAATGAGAGAGAGAGAGAGAGAGAGAGAGAGAGAGAGAGAGAGAGAGAGGAAGAGACGCGCGCACACATTTTCTAATCGCGTTTAAATCTCTTTTGTGTAATATACATTAATTTCCGACTTTTATCATTTTCAATTAGCCACTTATTTATATGCTTGGAAAATGTATTTTCGTATTTACTTAACGAAAACACCAACAGATGTCAAAACTTACTTTGCGCTCTAGAAATCTTAAAGTAAAGTCATAATATATCATTGAACAACTGAATCGTTTAATCCAAATTAATAACATATTAATAAATGTGCATGTGTTAATTGGACATATAACGAGCCTAAAGATGATAAAAATAACGCGTAGATCTATTTTCACATATTGAAATATATAAAACAATTGTCTATAAATATACAATTCAAATTTACATTAAAATGGAATAATCATAAAACCCAAACTATTTTAGTAACTTTACATTTTAATCTATTAATTGAATATAAAGCATTGCATGAAAAAAAAAAAAAATATATATATATATATATATATCCCATAAGCGCTGAATTTAATTAATCATAATAAATTAATATGGAAAAAGTAATTTATTGCAATATCGCTATTTGTCAATTCTTATAAACAAAACATATTTGTTTAGCTTTTTCTTATTTTTGATCATCTTTCAATCATTGTATTTAATTAAAATTGGATATATTTAATAAAATGCATAAAAGAATTTTGAATACATTGTTAGGATCACAATTTTTTTTTTTTTTTTTTAATAATTATAAATATTATTATTTAGCAGTTACAATTAAATTTATAGTTAAATTTGTTTGTAGAGAAAAAAGTGAGAAAATTAAGAGATTTAAGAATCATACGTATTCAATGTTTACTACCCAATTGTATATACGATGAAATATCACACAAATATCTGAATTTTGTAATATTTATAAATAATGTGATATCATGCATAATAGAAAAATACTTCTAATGTAAATAAAATAGATAATCCTCAATATTTTAATGCTCTTTATCGAATAAATTGAATACGAGCTGTTTTACAGTACATCGTATGTATAAGAAAAAAAAATTTTAAGTTAAATTAAATTTAGTAAAGGACAAAAGATTAGTTAATAATTACTTAATAAATATGTATGCCATAATAAAAGAAATTTAATGTTATTTTAATGCAATTAATAATAGTATTGATAAAGAAATTCTCGTGAGAAAAAAAAAACAAAATAATGGACTCAATAAATTAATGAAAAGTTTTTATTATGCGCGTCATAAGTTTCAAGTAGCTTATTGGTTTGTGCTCATAACGTTTGCCTTTGGTTTTTGAAGGTCCTTAAAGATAAAGAAGACTGCTCGCAGTATTTCCTGCTGTCTATTCATCTGTATAGCTCTTGTATACAATGACAATACCAGAATGGGCAACAATTTTACCACTACATGAACATATAGTATGGTACGCTACAAGGGCTTCATTAATCTCTTCACGGAACATAATTTTATGATATTCTCTTGTGACATTCATATATGTTAATCATAGTTAATTGGGAAATAAGCCACAAAAATATATTTTCAATGATTGAAAGAAAGTATTCATGTAATATAAAAATCCGTTAAAATACGCGCGTATTTGTAAGATTTTTACTATTTATGTTCAATCTGCTTGTACTTGATATGAAAAGAAACTAATTGCGTTTCTACGGACAATTCATATATTGATAAAGAAAAAGATATGTTTATTGAATGAAATTAATTTAATGTTTGTACACTGACATCTTTTATACGTAGTGCTGGCTTCAAAGCTCATAATGGAAATTCGCATCTATCATTATTAATGTATCAAAGGACATAAGTGCGTTTCTATTTATAAATTATCTTAAGCATTAAATAAGGCAATGAAAATATCTAATAATTAGCATTTAAATTAGTAGTTTAAATATTTTTCTTTTAATTGGAGAAAAAGAAAAATTAAGATAATCATTTAGCCGTAATTGTAATTGTAAGTCAGAATTTAAATAATACAAATACTTAATTTTATATATTCTATTAGAGTGTAAAAGCTTCACTATCTCCTGGCTTCATTGGTAAACTCTCTCTCTCTCTCTCTCTCTCTCTCTCTCTCTCTGATCAAATACTGAAACTTCTATATTTGCTTATTAATTGTGCATCAAAAAACTATTTATAATTAAAATACAGTTTTATAAAAAAATTCATTCAAATTACAATTAATAATAAATAATCATAATAATTTTTTCACATTATAAAAATGTTTATTTTCATTTTAGCCACTAAATATATTTGACAAATATTTATCTTATTGTATTAAATAAATTGAAAATATATTATTCTTATGTAAGAAAAATGTAAATGTTTTAATATTTATAATATATGATAAACGATCAATATTAAATTAATATAAACTACAGCGTTTTTATTATCAGTATTTGGTCAACATTTTTTTTTTTTCAAAGTATCAAAATAAATTATTACAAATTCACCATAATTTTATAGTTTCTTAAATACAAAGCTTTTCATTTGAAATTTATGAAAATAATTAAATGTCTATGAAAAATTGAAGCATAAATCAATTAGTTGTTTAAAAGAGAAAGTTATTATCAATTCACAAATAATGAATTTTGTTTGAAAAAATAATGAAAATACCTGTTTTTTGGATTATTTGAAAAAAGTAAAATATTTATTTTGCTGAAAATGTCAATGAGCTTATTTTTCGAAATTTATGAAAACTGTCAACGGTTTTTACAATTTACAATCGAACAATAATTATGTAATGAATGTTTAACACAATTTGTGATGAAGATTTTGAAGAAGAATTTTTGAACATTCATATTTCATAATTTCATATGAGTTCTATATTGAATCATACCAAATTTAAAACTAATTATTATATTAATGCTTTATTTTATTATCGTATTATGATTGATAAGAAAACCTAATTGGCATAAGGAAAAAAATGATTCAAATTTCACTGAATTTATGCAGCAAACATAGCAGATAAATTACACGAAGAACAAATATATTTATTTTTTAAAATCTGAGCTCTTCTTTTAAATATACGCCTTGTAGAATATTTTACTTTATATTTGAAGGATATTTGTTCCAAAGAGCCCATACCATTATTATACTTATACACGAAGAAAAAATATTTTTTAAACAACATACTATTTACAGATGTTTAATGGTAGTTTAATTTTAAATTAATAAAAGATGTTTGAGAAACTCGTATGAATGTCTGAATTTTGAATGATTTGAGTATTTACGAACAAACATTTTTAAAACAACTTTATTGACTATCGTAAAGATAATTTTGCCTAAGCGTAATTAATTCACTTAATTCGTATAACATAATCGTCTTAATAAATTCTTAAATTGAAATTTATTTTTAACATCAAAAAGCCTTATTTCTATGGCAACACTTTTTTATCCTAAAATCACAAGTCTAATTGAAAGAATTAAATGCATACATTACGCCGCCACTCGAACCCATCAACACCATCCATCAAACGGTCCATTTTCCCAATGTCTCACAAGCACATTAGCGTACGTCCAATTAGAACAATGTATCAGAATTTTAATTATTTATTCGTTTGCTTATCCTCGTCTTACCATCTATATTTTAATTGATTTTTACAACATTAAGCAAATTTCCTCTTCATTAAATAATTCATGTAAAATACTTTATAGAGTGAGAATATATTTGTAACATATAGTGTATGGCTATGCCTAGTTAGGCAAAACTTATAATTTGAATAAATGTGGAGGAAACGAAACTAAATAAGTAAAACGGCTTGAAAGTTTTAATGGACAGAATTTCCGCCTTTGCGTAGATGCTAATCTCACAATGAATTAAGTTTCATAAGTTTCCGTATAAATGTAAAGTAAATTTTACGGGCAAATTTTAATAATATACGATAAATTCAATCGTGTCAACTGTTACATATGTAATTAAGCCTTATGACTAATTGCAAATATTTAGTAATTACAAGGTGCTTTTGTACCTTACCACAAATCTTGTTTAACTTTATATATATCACTCGTTCTAATTAAAAATAATAAATATTGTTGCAATTATTTAATTTTAATAATACTATTTTCTCTTATTAATGCTTTTAATTTTGTAATAAATAAGTGTGAATAAATTGTGTATCTGTACGCGAAACTTGTATTCATCACCCATATCTTGAAGAATTTATTTTGATAATTTACCTTCAACCACATGTTTCCTTTTATTTATATGCAGGCATACTTTTTTTTTTTTTTTTTTTTTTTTTTTTTTTTTTTTTATAAAACAAAGATTTTCGAGCTAGAATAATTTTACCTTTTGCGTCTTTCTCTCAATTCGAATCCCTCGCACATTAAAAATATCTATTAATATTATTTATTAAACATGCAAAAGAATAAGAATTATATAGAGCTATATAGAATTTCTTATGAAATCGTCAAGATAATAGAGAAATCAACTAATAAATAAAATTCAATTATTAATTATTCTAGCTATGTAGTATAGATTATTCACATATAATTAACCACTGATTATCACGCTACGACAATGCATTTCACACAATAATACAATAAAAATACACCAATACTCGTATATATCGCAATGTTTATATTATATTTATATACCTAATCGCCTAAGAAACTTAATATGTTTACCATCTTATTAGCCAAAGTTGGATCTCGCAACTTAGTAATTTGCTGATTAAGACGAGTGACGACCCTAAGTGATACACGATTAAAGTGTACTTTAAAAATGACGCGAACGATCGGCTTATCGATTAAAATGCCCGCAAGTCAATAGAAGAATTCAGCCACGGAACAAGCGGAAGAGTCCATGGATGATCGGTTGGGCCATCGATTATGATTAACCATATGCGCTTTAACCCGTCCGTTTCAGGCTCGGGCATCTTCGTGTCACCATCGAGTGCCTTGGCACGCTCGGGCTCGGTCGGCCTCAGCCTCATCGTGTGGACCGTCTCCGGCTTCCTCTCGCTCCTCGGCGCCCTGGCGTTCGCCGAGCTGAGCGCCATGGTGCCGCGGTCCGGTGCCGAGTACGCCTACTTCCTCGAGGCCTTCGTGCCCCTGCATTCCTACTTCGGCCAGCTGCCGGCCTTCATCTGCGCCTGGATCTTCATCTTCGTCCTGAGGCCCGCCGAGGTCGCCGTCATTACACTGACCTTCGCCGAGTACTTTGTCCAACCGTTCATCCCCTACTTCGGCCACATCGAGCCCGAAAGCTGGCATCAGGTGAGCCGTGGTCACGATTCGACTTGGAGTTGCTTTTTTTTTTTTTTTTTTGCCAAGTTGTCGGTGCATTGCATTTGGAACATTGTGAAATTTTCAAGACAAATGGAACGGCTGTTATAAAGCCGTAGGCAGTAAAGCACAGCAACTCAAAATAGACAGAAGAGTGCTTTAAATAATATAAAAAAAAAAAAAATAAAACAAAATAAAATAAAATAAAATCAAATAAAATAATAAATAAATAAATAAATAAATAAATAAATAAATAAATAATGAAAAAGAAAAACGTGTTATTCTTGTTGCTTTTAATCGGAGATCTTAGGGAATGGATTTGATGGATGAAAGAGGCTGTTCGGCGACGTTTTTTTTTTTCCATTCGTTTTAAAAGCAATCGCCGCTTCGCTTTAATCATGAAAGATGCACCTTTTCAACAAATTGGCGGAACAACAAATCTCTTGGATGAAAAAGCGCGATGTTTGCTACATTGGTATTTCAATAATGTCATTGGAAATGCAAGTGTGCAAAAAAAAATGCGATCGAGACAATCTTGAAGTACCAAGTCCGTCATTGGCAATTCAAAAGTTGTCCATTCACCTATTTATTATAGCCCAATCTCAATGATTAACGGGCCATGTAAATCATTTTCTTCACCTTCCCCTCATCATTGCCAAAAATATTCTAATGCCTCGATTTTCGTGACTCCGCAGGTAAAGAAGCTCGTCGCCATAATGACACTGGGTCTGATGGTTTACATCAACATGACTAGCGTCAAACTGTATGTGAGAATGCAGAATATTTTTATGATATTCAAAATAGGCGCTTGCATGCTCGTCATCGTCGGCGGTATCTGGTGGCTTGCGACCGGGCACACGGAGCTCCTAAACGAGCCCTTCAAAGACTCAACCACCTCACCAGGTTTCCTATTTTCAACTTCATTAATAATGATGTGGTGTTATTGTTTGGTGACGACTCTCGCGCTGCTCTCGTATACGCTTGCCTGATAACATTTTTTAACAATTAGTCTCGGAACGAGTCGAGTTTGTGGATTAATCGATAAAAGATGACATTCAATCGTTTGGAAAGTAACATGAAATTATGCTGATTTAGAGAATGTAAATATTAATTTTATTAAGGAATTATGATATCTTTATTTATTATTGGGTCCTTATTGTTAATACGCGTCATAATAAAATTCGCTGTTTAAATTAACTCGCAGACATGGGGAGAAGGAAGTCCTAATAATAATAATTATTATAGCAATTGTTGGCGTTAAGAAGAATGAAAAATTCATGCCAAAGATAATATTTTCATTCGGACGGTATCTTGACAATTATTTGTTTAAATGAAAATCATTGCTTTAATTCTTGAATTATTCTTTCTTCTTTTAAACCGTGTAAACGAATAGTAGTCATGTTGTATTACTAATTGAAAAATGATGTCATTTCAACGGAATCAAATGAGTTTATTTCTTTTGCATTTGATAGTTTTATATATTTTTTATTTGTTATTTTATATTTATATACATAAGATTAAAATCTACCAATGTAATGAAAACTATAATCGAATTATATAACGAAATATATATATATCGAAGCATGTATTTGAATGGAATATATATATATATATATATATATATATATATATACTAAACCTTCAAGAAACTTAAAAACGAAAAATCGTTATTTTATATTGTAACTTTGACTGATTTTACAAATTCATCAAATATCTAATTAAACATCGCACATTAATTCCATAATTCACTTAAATAATCCTTTATAAAACAATAATTTTTATTATATTTGCCGCTAATTAATTTCATTGGGATTTTATACTTTTTTTTTTCATAATAAAAAAAAAAGAAAATGTGCCATAAATACGAATGATTAAACATATCATTCATAAAAAATTAACAATACATTTTTAAAAACTTGTTATTCATGAGCAATAAAATCAGCTCAAAGACGTAATAGTTTAATTATTTCAATCACAACAGCCATACGAATTACATTATTTATTTATTCTTATATAATACAATCTTATTCAATTGGTTTAAAATTAAGATTATATATTGGATTTTAGTCGTTGCTGTTGCTGTTGCTGTTGTTATTGGCGTCGTTGATGCTGTTGTTGTATTAAATAAAATATATGAATTAGCGACATCAAATGAATTCTTTTATCAGATTTAATTCGTACGTTTATTAGATCTTACCCAATAAATCTCAATAAATTTTCGAAAATGTACTATCGCTACAACAACAACAACATAGTTAAAGTGTGTTATGCAAGTGTGCTATCGCTAAAGAAACTCGTGTCAAATATCATATTAACGATGCGAGATAAGCCAGATTACATTTTTGACATAATATTAATAAGCGATAATGTCAACAAACTTAACGTTCTTTATTAAATTACGCCATTACAGTTAACGGCATTACTATTTAAAAAGCATTTTGTATTTAATCTGTAAGATTTTTACTTCGTATCTCTGCCGGATGTGATCATATAAAATCGACCGTTGGCATAACGAACGATCGGAGATAATAATCGTTTACGGAAAATGCACCGCATGAATGTTTCCAAACTTTGATCCTTGATATTGCGAGGGTGACATTAGCCAATGTTCGAACTATCTGTTAAACACCTCGTTAATGTAATATTTCGAATAAATTGAAAAATTTGCAAATGGCCGAGCGATAAAATGTCGCGTTAAGGACGTCGAGATCAGCCGTCGCATAAATTGCGCAGACTGATTTTTTCTCCCCCGCAGGTCAAATCGCCCTCGCCTTCTACAGCGGTCTGTGGGCGTACGACGGATGGTCGGCTTCGGCGGTGGTTGCCGAGGAGGTCCAACATCCCGAGATCAACATACTGCGCAGTATACTCATAGCGGTACCCATTGTCACCGTCCTCTATGTCTCCATGAATCTCATGTACATGTCGGTCCTCACCAAGGCTGAGATGATAAGCGCCCCGGCTGTGGTCGTCGTCTGGGCCGCGAAGGTGCTGCCGTCCTGGATGAGCTTCGTCATTCCCCTTGGCGTCGCGGTCTCGACCTTCGGCTGCGGCCTCAGCGTCCAGTTTGGCGTCACAAGGTAGCCAACGTATACTCCTTATCGGCTCCTTAATTTATCGCTCTTGTGGTAACGTATCGTCGTAGCTAACGATTTTCAATACTCGCGAGCCAGATATTTCTATATAATTTGACAAAATTCTTAACTTTTGGCCTCTTATTTACGCGAATAAAGTAAGCGCCTAATGAATTTTCGCGACGCACAACTTCCGTAATTAAATGTTTCATGTTCGCTCTCTGCTATTCCATGTAAAATAAACGAATACTCCATACTAAAAGCATCGGCAAGTTTTATAATCAATGACAACAAATTGAACAATATCGGCCAATGTTAATTTTTATTTTCCATAAGGCATTATTACTCTGTGCGTACGTACAGAATGCAATTGCGCACTTGCATAATAAAATTTCATGTATTGAGCTAGTGAGTGGATTTTATACTTTTAAACGTATTAATTAATTGACGATCGAGATAAGAAATAACAATAACGTGATTAAAATTTAACTCGCGCTGTGTGCTCATCCTCGTATACATCGCGTATTGCTCATAAGTATTATTTGACATTGATTGTGGATTGCTCTGGTCCAAATATTCGCGATATTCTTTAGACTAATTAATGAAAAAATGAATTCGACTACTTATCTTAAATATTAATGTTGTTAATTGCATAATCATTAGCTATAAGGCCGTAAAAGAGTCGGTATTATTGTTATTTCTTCTTCTTTTTTTTTTCTTCTCTTTTTTTCTTTCCTTTTCCATTTCTTTTCAAATTGAACAAAACGTCCGGACGACAAAAAAAGAAAAAGAAATGAAAATAATGTGCTTTAGGACATTTGAATAAATATTACGTTCTTGGCAAAAATAACATTATTACATACGATTCTGTAAAGGGATTACGAGTTTCAATACACTTTGAGAATGGATTTCTGAATTATTTATAACAAAAGTAATATAATTTCGAAAGAATTAATTAGCGTTGTACAACACTTTTTCAATATTTTACGATTAAATATGCATTGTTAATTAATGTGAAACTAGTTTGGCAATGGCAGGCCGATTTGCTATTTAAGTTTTTCGCCATATTTACTTTACAACCATCTGCGTTAAATTCCCATTCGTTAAATTATTATTCTAATTAACATTATTTTAAAGGAAAGCACTGAGCGTAACCCAACGCGTCGACAGAATAAACAAAATTCAAATCTTTTTGTATTCTCCATAAAAACCATTAACCCTTAACTAACGAATAATTATCAAACGGATAATTTCCTCACATAAAAAGTAAAGACAATATATTTATTATAATAATTTTATTAATGTGTATGTATTAATGTATAATAATTAATTGTATTCATATTAATGGCTCGTACAAGCTCGCTGAAAATTTATTTTGCGAGGATATAATTCGTTTGGTATCGTGAATATTGTAGCCCCTTCACGTTGTAATGGCTGGGCGGGGTAGGGGGAGGGGCGCTACAATTGCCACTATAAGCGCGTACAGAGAAGTTGCAGGACTAAACGATCCACTTCCCTAGATACAGCGTCCGAAGTCGTTAATGAATTACAAAATAAAAATTAAAAAATAAAAAAAAAATAAAAAAACAATAATCCAGCAAATATTATGATACGAATGAATGACAAAACTGGCTGCGAGTGAAAATGCCTTTTGGCGAATCGACTTGGCGCTCGATTAAGCGACTAAGAATGATTTTAACCGCGCGTCAGTCGCATATCCTGGCAACTTATCGTCAGGACGATATAATGCGCGTAATATCGGTGACACGGGAATGACGTTACGAATCCCTTGTTTCTCAGGCTCTGCTACGTTGCGGGCAGAGAAGGACACGTGCCGCGCTTCTTCAGTTGGGTGCACTTCGAGCGAATGACTCCCGCCGTTGCCGTTGCTCAACAAGGAGCGCTTACACTTGCTTGCCTCTGCATTGGAAATACAATCGATATTATCGAGTTTGTCAGCGTAATTATTTGGATCTTTTATGGACTCGCGATGGTAGCCCTTATTGTTCTGCGAAGGAGTAATAAGCCGTTGTGTGGTAGAAATCGCCTTGTCCCTATTGAGATACCCTGGGTTGTCTTGCTCATCTCCATTTTTCTGGCTTTTCTCCCAATACTGGACACCCCTAGCCAGTCTTATGCAGTCGTCATTGCCATAGTTGCTATTGGATGTGTCGTACACTATGTATACGTTTACAAGAAGAGGAAAAACAAATTTATGCGTAAGTATAACACGAGCATTACAGATTCAAAAAATATACGCGTAAAAATGTTAAGATAATTGTTGATTGAGAAAAGATAAATTCTTACCCGCATCATCGCCATCTTTCGTGTACATCACACAGTGACGACTATATTGATATCCTCGAGTACATGGCATATTCAATTTCGACAATTTGCTTAAATCTAACGGATAATCGTACTTCTCCATCTTTTTCATATTTATATTCAAATTCGTATTGATATTGGTATTTGAATGAAAGTTTGACATGTCAGAGTCGTCGTCGTCGTAGTAGTTACTTATTGGCGATTGTGTTGGCCATTGAGTTGGCCATTGAGATGGCCATTTTGTTGGCCGTTTTGTTGGCCGTTTCGTTGGCCGTTTTGTTGGCCGTTTTGTTGGACGTTTCGTTGGCCGTTTTGTTGGACGTTTTGTTGGCCGTTTTGTTGGACGTTTTGTTGGACGTTTTGTTGGACGTTTTGTTGGACGTTTTGTTGGACGTTTTGTTGGCTGTTTTGTTGGACGTTTTGTTGGACGTTTTGTTGGCCGTGTTGTTGGCCGTGTTGTTGGCCGTATTGTTGGCCGTGTTGTTGGCCGTGTTGTTGGCCGTGTTGTTGGATTTTTTATTGGCTTTTTTATTGGCTTTTTTGTTGGCTTTTTTGTTGGCTTTTTTGTTGGCTTTTCTGTTGGCTTTTCTGTTGGCTTTTCTGCTGGCTTTTCTTGTAAACATTCTGATGTGCAGTCTGGGCTGCACCCTGATTGGGATTGTATGATCACTTCTAGTTTAAATTTTTCATTAGACATTGCATTATATGAGTGTGGATGTTGTGGTATTCCTTGTTGTTGTAATTGTTGTTGGTCAGTAATTTTTATTGGGTCGTGTGATGACTGATATCCTTCGTTTTGCTGCTCTAATGATTGGAAATATTGTTCTTCTGATACCTGTCCTGATAGTTCTGACGAGGACCGTGATGGTTGTTTTATCGGGTATTGTGCTGATTCTTTTTCTGAGTACTCTCTTGATTGTTCTAACAAGTACTGTGATGATTGTTCTGTCGTGTAGTATGCTGATTGTTCTGATGACTGATTTTGCGAGTAGTGTGATGTATATATTGGTTTGTATTTAGGGCACTTGGACGAGTGTTTTGATGATTCATTTGGTCTGCATTTAGGTGGGCACTTGGAAGAGTCTTTTGATGGGCGTTTTGTTGTATCTTGTGGTGAGGATTGTGCTGAATTTTTGCAATTTGCTCCATCACAATGGTGATCTACCTTAATAGTAAGGTCAATTTTCTGTAGCGATTTTTCGGTATCTGAGCTTATTACTTGTTCTAGTGCATGCCTTGGTCTTATTGTTGTGTTGTATAATTTCGATTTGTATCCAGCAGTTTCCATATTATATGATTCCATGTTATCGTCTATTACATCGACTTGTCCAATTATAGTTCCTTCTAACGTTCCGATATTTCTTTTTTTTAATGAATTTGTTTTCAATAAAGGCCAATGCATAATTTTGTCTAATTCATCATCTGGCTCCAAGTGTATTTTACCTTCAACGTTCATACTTCCATTCCACGTTGTTACTGTGAGGTTCGATAGGTCTTCTTCTGAAAGCAATCTTTCGTCATATTTCAACAGCTGCGTTGTATCAACATTTAACGAATTCATCAATGAATTCGAATCTATCGGAATAGTTATATTCTCACAATTCCCGTCTTCTATTTTTTCGCACATCGTGCAATTGGAATTAGTAGAAAATATTTGCAAAGACGTAATCGTGTGACCCCATTTTTGCAGAAATAGGCAATCACAATCTCCTAATATTATTATCATATTTTTTCTCTTCAATCGATTATCTAATTTACTTATTAAAGAAACTCCCAATCTATTCTCCTGATTATTTGTTATTTCTCTCAACTTCAATCCTCCAATTTTATTGTCTTTCTTACCTTTTAAATGACAAGACGTCAAGTTCTCTTGCTGGTTTTTATGTAAGAGTGTTGTATCATTTTTGCCTTTAAATATTGAATGTATTCCTTTAATATTTTGTATTGCATCGCCAAGCGTAGTTGATTCAGTTTCATTCGATATACTATTTAAAGCTTCTTCCACCTTTACTAATGAGTTTTTGTCCTGCACAATTACTATTTCGATCAAGTTTTCTTCTATAAAACTCGAACATACTAAAACTTTCCCGATAAGCATGATCATTCCTTCACATGATATATACATTATACTTAATTTGTTAATTTGGAAGCCAAGAAAAAAAAAATTACTCCAATCTATTCGCCAATTTTCCTTGTCCGTTCAATTACCATCAACTATGTGCGGTGACACTTAATTTTCTTGATATTTTCAATGCTTTTAATCGCTATCGCACAATTCAAAATAATTCAGATAAGAATTTATGTGGAATTCGAATACCAATTTACTGATGATATAATCTAATTGATATGCAACGAAATTTATTGATTCTAGGCAGTAAGTTTGAGTTGAAATATTTTTTAGCATTATTGCATATTATTAGATCAATCAAACAAAATAAAATTTTTTAATAAAAATAAATAAAATCAATTTTATTATTATATTTCTTTGTTTATTAAGTAGTTTAGCTCTAGAAGAAGAAAAAAATATCATAATCTATTAAATAGCTTACAAAATACTTAAACATTTAATTTGCAAATATTTCTGAATTTATAAGTGTAATAAGTTTGTTTAAATTGTTTAATATTGATTGCTTTTTTTTTTTTTTATAAAAATTGAAAAAAATATTAAATTAAAAAAATTTTAACATCATTATAGCTAATGAAGAAAAAACAGTCATGTTTATTATTATTATTAATCGAAATAATTCCTTAATAGTGAACATTTTTCAAAATATCTAAATAAAAATTACTAAATTCGGCGTATAAATGTTTAACTTATATAAGTTAAAAAAATTTCAACTAAATAAAGGTAAAAAGTTTTTCAATTACTTAATTAAATAATTAATAAAATTATTATTTATTTATGAAAAAATATTTAAGGAATAATTGTAAAAAAAAAATAAAAGATTTTCATAGATTTTTCAGTTTGTTGAAAATCATAAATTAATGGAAAAATATATTTCGTATAAATGTCATTTACATGTTACAGGGAAATTAACGTATCTAGTCCAAATGTTATTTATGGTTGTCGCACCTGATGAAACGGAGAATAAAACAGGTATAAGAAATTAATTGAAGGAATAACAAAGAAGGTCAATAACAGGTAAAGCAAGCCCCATTGTGCAGTTAATGTGTAACATTTCAACAAGAGGCTGTGAAAGCATATATCTTAAGTATTTTAACATTTATTGTTGATTAATAAAAACACAACCAGGTAGATTAACAAAAGTATTTTTGTATTATATAAATAATGTATAAATACATCAACACGTATAATAATGTACACAATCGCCGTAACAAATATTTTTACAATAAAATACGTCTTTTTTAATAACGTATAATATAATCTTAGTGCCTTTATTTAAAATATAAAGAATAAAATAGGTAGAAAATAAAATTATAAATAGATTTCACAAAATTGTTTGTAATAAACATAAAAGTTAACTTTCCAATTCTTTCAAAAGACATTCTTTATAGTTTAAAAATATATTAATTAAAGTAAAGATAAAAAATACTTTATTACTTTCATACAATTTGTTAGAAAACATATTTATTCCATTTTGTTTACCACCTTACATTATCTAAACTACATTTTCATTAAATATTAAAAACTTTAATACATTTGTATAAAAATATACAATTGTTGAATTTTTTCTTTAACATATATAAAATAACAACCACCACGTGGAATAATAACAATTTTTAAATTAATTTATAAATATTCATAAAAATTAAATACATTTTAAGATATTAATTTTAATATTATTATTTGCACAACCTTTTTTCTTTTTATATATAATTTGTAAACTAGTGTAAAATAGCCTGTGAAAGTCTTGTATAAACTTTCAAAAAATAGGTACTCATTATGTATTGATTATGCTTAATTATATTGTATATAAATTCCAAATAAATTACTTATTATGTACTAGAATATTTTAAGAAATACATTACAGTTGTACTGTTAGATAATTTAATATTATGTTTCACTTTTAAGTAAATATTACGTAAGGCCACCATAATTAGCTTAATTACTTGAATGAAATTTTATTAAAATTCATTACTCTGCCAATGTGTTGGATATTCGGCACACACATAATTCAAAATTTCAAAATGTTTACAGTCTTCCTTTTCAGATCTATATTTAATATTTCATACCAATTTCAATTTTCCTAAGTTAAATGACAATTTTACTTTATATACAATTATTGCTATTTTCTTTTTTATTAAATGAAATTCATCAATTGTATTGTTAAATTTCTATATTGGAAAAGCTATTTGCACCACAATTTGAACAAGTTTGAGATTCACTAAAAAAAGAAAAAAGTTTTTTTTTTTTATATTTTTGATTTTTCATAAGCAAATGTTTTTAATATAAGCAAGTATTAACGTAATATCAAATTAATTTACTTACGTTAAAACATTATGAAGTTTTTTCCGTAACTCGTTACAAAGATTTGTTTCTACAGTAAGAGCATTATCTCTTTCTTTTAATTGCTGACGTAAATGATAAATGGTGTCCTCCAGAGCTTCAAATATAGCCTAGATAGAACATTTTTTTTTTTTAATGAATTATGTAAAACATACTTGCAAATGAATTAATTAATATTTAAATATTATTATAGTGAATGTATTTTAACAAATATTATCAATTTAGTATTACATTTCAATAGTATTTAATCGTCTAATAATAATCATATTCACTATAATAAATAAATACATATACAGAAAATGCTAGACTGAGTTTATATAAAAAATTTATGTATCTAATGAACTGAACTTACTCTAGATTCTTCTACCGTATCTGACAAGGCAGGAGGTTCATCAAGACAAAAAAATTCTTTAACACAACCCAAGCTAACTAAATTAGGACTGTTCAACAGTCCATTAACAAATAATTGAAGTCCTCTTATCCTTTCTTCCAGAAAACTTGGAGCAAAATTATCACCGAGCCACTTTTTTCTAGGTAATGATAAATGAGATACAGAAGCTTTTTGGCGTCTTAACTGTGTAAATAATCTAACAAAATCAGTGTATCGACGAAAAACAAACCAGCAGTTTCCATTTTTAAATTCTACTTTTAATTTATACACCTGCGAACAAGACAAATATATTAAAATTCACCCACTGTATATGAATTGCTTTTTAGTTTTGGTTAATACAAGTGAAAATGAAATCTTATTGTTATAATATTATGCCAATATTAAAAATAAAAATCAACTTATCTAATTTATATTTTTATAAAAGGAAAAACATTGATTATTCTTACAGTAAATCGAGCTCTCTCTTCCATTACTTCATATCCCACAATAGGTATTCTTAAATTATTCATATTTGGTGTTTCTTGAAATTCTGAGTTCTCATTGTGGCTTTCATCATCATTATAGTCAAAATGCTGGACTGTAAAGGAATTTGAATTTCCAGAACATGTAGAATTAGGACTATCAAGTACTCTTATATTATTTACTGGATGTGATCCTTTTGTTTTATTAATTGCTAATGTCACTTCACTAATACACCCAACACTTGCTTCCGAACTTGACATTCTAATTGAAATATAAAGTAAAGTTAATTTGGCCTAGAAATCTTACAAATACAATGAAACATGACATGTAATCTGTCTTTATAATAATACACATAATCCTATTAAATTATTAATATCTAAGTATACAAAGCGATTATCCTCTACATTTTCTATTCTAAATTCGACTAATTTCCCTTCTTTAATAACGTAATGAAATACAATAATTACAAGTCAAAAAATGATACTTGTATAAAAAAAAAAAAAAAATTATTAATAAGTAAATAATCAAATGTAAGAACTAACCTTAATTAACAATTTAAATAACAGGAAAATTAAAAAAAATTATAACTATTTTACAAATACACTATTTTCTTAAATCATCACATATTTTCACTTGATTTTTAAATTATAATATAATAAAACCTTTGAAAATAAAAGCGATGACAGATGCCGTTAACTCGCGTCTAACCTCTTACTCGCAAAAACGAAAATACTACAATATTTTATATAGAAATCGTTCACGCAATTTTCTTCTTTATCGGCCATTTGAATAAGCGGAAATTTATAAAATAATATTTAAACGAAAATTATACGTTAAACTTTCAATGATTTTACATTATCTGATATATGTAGTATTGGGAACTATTATTTAATAATGTAGACAAAAAATTTAAATAAAAAAAAAAAAAAAAAAAAAACCCCCGTACGAACCACAATTATTATAATTATAATCAACTTTGTATTTATGTTTAGAGATGCAAATAAATATGTGCGAAACTTTATTGAATTCGAGAAATATAAACGTCTATAGAATGGTAAAATAGCGAATTATCAGGTTATTGAAGATATCAGTATTTACCTGAAAATTAAATCGAATAAAATCATGTTTAAGTAATTTGCAAACTCAATCGTCTTATATATAGTAATTTTTTAAAAGTTTCTTTAACCGAATGAAGAAAATATCAAGTTTAATAAATATTTCTTGATATTTCAAATTATTTTAAAGACCTTACGAATATATAATTCGTGAGATAGTTAATAATCTTTATTAACATAATATGCGCAATCAAATATAAAATTAATTAATCTTGTTAAAAAAGTGGCTGGTATTGGATGAACGTAACTGACCATTTTTCGAATAAATGTACAAAATGTTGCATAAGTTTTGTAGGTTATAATGCTTGTTTGTAATTCTATATCATCAATAATATTCACAGCAATATACGTATATTGCTGACGGAACTTTTTTTTATTATTAAAAGTAAAATATGTTTATACAAAAATCTTCTAGAAAAAAAAATCGAAATTGTTTGGTAGATTTTTATTTAATAGCCAATTGTGAATTTGATTTATGCCACATTAAATTTTGTCAAATGAAGTTCTTATTAAAATGAATATATATTAAGCAAATTTTATTTAAAAAATGCATTCGTTATTAGTAATCTACATAATAAATATTTATTATACTGAAAAATAAATTAGGATAGAAATAAAAATGAACAAAGAATTTTTAAGTTTTGATGGATCGGTCAAAAAAAATCAAAGAGAAAGTTTATCCCCTTATAAAATTGCAGTTGTGCTGTTCATCAAAATTTATTGTTCCGATACAATGAGTAGAGGTGAGTGTGAATCGTATTTAATATACAAATTTAACATTATGAGTAACATAATAATGCAATTAAATAAAATGTTTCAGTTATTATTGAAAAACGAGACTTTTGTATTGCGGCGTTGAAATTAATACAGGTATTAATTAAAGAAATGAGTTTTATTATATTATTCATGTGAGATTTAATTATGTAATATCAAATTATTTCTTTTAGTCGCCAGATTTAGATAAAAGAAACTTGTTTGGAGTTATTAATTCATCGGAATTTGTATTAGCACGTTTTAGTCTGCAGTTACAAAATGATTTAGATTTTATCTGTGCAGAAGGTGTTAAAGAACTATTAGACTTATTCGATAGTCTTGGAAATTTAATGAAACCTATAATAGATAATCCTCATGTAGCTTTGTTAAACAAGCATTCGGTTCTTGGTCTTTACGTGCGTCGAACCATTGTGCTATTTGAGAAACTAACATTCTGTAAAGTTGTTGCACTTTTCGAAGACTTGAAAGTTTATGTAAAAAAAAATATAAATGAAATGAATACTTCTATGGATGATACAAAAAGTGAACATATTTACTTTCAAAAGTAAGAATAATAACAATATTAATAACACTGTAATATATAAACAATATTCGTTTACTCGAATAATTTTACAGATTAAATGAATTTTCCGAGATGAAAGAAATACAAAATTTTTCATTTTTAAACAAAGGTTTTAACAAAACAAAAAAAAACAAAAATATTAAAAAATTCATGTTTAAACATAGTATTCTTATAATTATTTGATATTTTTTTTTTTAAATTAAACTCTTGATTATTTGCACTTAGCGATAATGTTTGGGGAGGAAGACAAGCCGAATTACTTGTTGCGCAACAGGCACACGCTCTTCTCACTGACGAGCACAAAGCCTTACCACCCGCCGAACTTCAAGCCCTTGTAAAAGATCTCTTAAGTAGTAGTCCATATTATGCAGAAGCTGTACGTTAATTACCAAATACATTATTTAAAAGAGTCATAGTATAATGATCAGTTTGTAAATTGAACTCATTTTTATTGTAGCATTATCTGAGCTATCTCAATTGTTTAAGAGTTAACGAGTATTGTGGAGCACTTGATAGCTTGTATCATTGTTTCGATAGATTAGCTCCTTTAGAAAGTCGTCCTTCTCCAGATGATAAACTCAGAACATTTAGATATGCTGCTTTGAATCTTGCTGCACTTCACGCACAGTTTGGCTACAAGTAAGCTTGTCGATCAATAAGATCGATAATAATAAAGTCTTGGGTGCTAATTCATTATTTTTTTCAGGGAACTAGCTCAATTGGCTTTAAAAGAAGCAATTATGTTGGCTCAAGAAGCAGGAGATAACGTTTGCTTACAACTTGCACATTCGTGGGTTTATTACTTAACGGATAAGAATAAGTAGGAAATTTCAGCATTATTAAGCAAATAAAATTACTTTATAAACTTATTAATACTAATTACTTTCTCTAGAGGTCCATTAATTGAGCGATCTATTGCTAAAGCAACTGCTCTAGGAATGACACATACTGCAAGTTTGGCACTAATTGCTTCTGCTCACAATTCTGCTATGGAAGGTAAAAGTCCTCAAGTTGTTTTTGAGGTAATTTTAATTTAATTAAATTCATTCCTCCTCGAAAGTTTATTTCAAACACGCTATTAATAATTGAAACGCAAAGAAATTTTCATTACCGACACACGATTTATCTTAATATTTATTCATAAATATTTAACAAATTTAATAATACACTTGTATATATTATTATATCGATTAATTTTTCAAAAATAGCTTTTACTTAAAAAAAAAAAAAAAAAAAAAAAAAATGCTTATTTACGAGTACATTGTATTATTCATAAACATAAAAATTTAATTCTTAAAGAATCTATCTACTATTTCGTATGTTTTTCATCCTTCGCTCCTCTTCTTAGTCTTCCTTTTTTTTTTGTTTTTTACATATATGATTACGGGCTTTGTGTTGTTGTTTTTTTTAACGAAAATCTTACAAAGTATGATTTAATTGCTTTTCAATACAATACTCTTCCTCTTTTGCTCTTATACACTCTTTTCCACTGTCGAGCCAATATTTTAGTAACTATATTAAGAAGATTTTCGCTATTGTTTAGAAGAAAAAAATTAAATAAAAATAAAACAGATTACCTCAAGATTTTACTCTAATAATTGCATTGCAGCATACACAATCTCAACTGGAAGAAAAAACTCCATACTTCCATCATAATAAGTTTTAAACGTTTTCTTCACCTTATATTATACAGACCCTGACCAAGTCCGACGTGCTGAACAGTCAGCATTCGATGATCGATCTGATGTCAATGATCTACGCGGAGAAGACGGCACTCTGGGCTTACTACGGTAAGACCGAAATGTCGTCGGTATGCGCACAGCTGCTTCTCCTCTTCAATTCTGGAGAAAAGAAACAACTGATGTTCAACGGACCCTCAACTTGTCAAGCCGTCGTCACCCTCGCCAACATCCTCAACGAAATGGGAGAGTACGCGCTAGCGAGCACTGTTCTCTTCCATGCTAAGGAGCGCTTCCCGAACCAGCCGAGCAGAAGGATTTGGGCTCTTAGCGAACAACTACACGAGTTCTCGAAACTCATGAGGAAGGAAAAGTGGTCGGCGGCCGAGGAAATCGCCTTGCAAATCTCCAGCCTCGACTCTGTCGAGAGTAAATTCAGGTGGGTTGAAAGTTCTCCAGCCGCGATAATGCGATCGAGCGATCCTTTGCTATTCCTTGCAATGATATGTCTATGGGAAATTTTTTCCTTTTTTTTTTTTATGGAGATAATTGATCGCCCCATTAATTCGACGATAAAATCAAAATTTTAATTTATTTTTAAAGTTAATGAGAATATTGTAAAAGAAATAACTCGATTCACTTTTTTTATTATGAACGAAGAAGAGTGTGACTGTCGACAATAGAAAAGTCCTTCGTTTTTTGAAAGTTGCAGTACGAAGAGTTTTTATTTATTTATTTTTTTTTTTTTTACTACATTGTTCGATTGTAATTTCGAAATAGTACAAAATATTAATAATTTCAACGATTCGGGAATTTTTGTTATTCAAACAAAACAATTCGAATGTACAATTTAACTGAACAATTATGGCGGCAAATTTCTTAAAACGCTAGTCCACTTATGGAAAATATAAAACGTCGAATTATTTGAATAATTTCAATCAATCTTTTATAGATTTAAACTTTGACTTAGACTTTTGAGTTACAATATTCAATTATCTTTACAAGAATTAATTTTTATGAAAGTATAATAGTGAAATTAATGTTTTTTTTTCTTTCTTATTTTTTATTTACTTTTATTTCTTAATTATTATTAAATTAAATTAAAAAAAAAAAAAAAAAAAAAAAAAAAAAGAAGGAAAAAAAAAACTGGCATGATTTCAAGCAAATAATTTCAACATTAATGTCTTCTAATTACCTGTATCTATATAAATAGATTGGTAGAAGTTCTCTTTGCAAAGCATGATTTTCCAGAAGCTTTGAAATTAGCATACGAGCTTGAGAAACTAGAGAATATTACGCCACAGCAGAAAGTACGAGCAAAGCTACAAATCAGCCAAATAAAATGCGGTTCTGTTTTTGCTGGAACTCCACAGTCGGCAACAAGCTCAATTTTGCTATTAAACTCCGCCTTAGATATAGCCACGAGTAATCATTTATCATATTACGAGGCATTAGTCAATATGTATATCGTCAATGTTCAGGTAATTATTAAATTATAATTATTAGTTCCTGAAATAATTTACATCCTAATATGACCAACTTAATGAGACAATTTTTTTTTTTTTTAAATTATTTTTGAACGACTGTTGTATTTGTAGTTGTTACTAAGAATGCCTTTTCAAGCTTTAAGAAATGTGAGGGAGCCAATTATTCAAATATTAGCTCACGGTGGATTATATGACCAAGCAAGAGCTTACATTACATATGCTAAGTGTTTATCAGCTAATGCTTCCAAGCAAACTGATGAAAACAAGAAGTATATGATGTTGGAAGCGATAAAACACCTTTACAAGGCAAAAACATTGCTTGAAAAACTTGAAGCTAACGATAGACTAAAAAGCACGCTGTACTTGCTGAGTCTTTTTTATCATGAAATTGATATGCACGATGAACGCAACCGATGCGCTTTTGAGTTTAAACAACTCGATGAACAATTTCCAGCTGAAAAAAATTACATATTTTTATTTTGATAAATTTGTTATATTTGTACAATAAATTTTTATGCAATGAATGTACTGTGCAGTACTCAAGTTTATCATTTTTCTTTTACTTTTTCACGTTTATCAGCTTTTAATAAATGAAAAGTCGTTTGGATAATAATAGAATAAATTTATCTCGACTTTATATTGGATTAACTGAATTGGAGTAAATTTCATTATTTATTACTACTCCTGAAAGATAATAGTGGGTAATTTTTTCTTTCTTTTTTTTTTCTTTTTTTTTTTTAATTTTTTTTGTTACATATTAAAAAAAAAAAAAAAAAAAAAAAAAAAAAAAAAATTACTTTCAATGCATGAAAATCTTAAAAAATTGTTCCCAATTTATTTCTGTTACAAAATACTAATTTTATTGCTATTTGCCAATATTCTTACGACAAGAATATAAATTTATACTGTACGCGCGTTAAAATGTCGTTAAAATATTTTGTAATCAAAAAAAAAAAAAGAACTGACAAGAAAAATAAATCACCAGCGCAACAAGCATTATTGTGAACGCGACATTATACATTATTTAGAAATATAAATTATTTACATAAAGAGAAATAAATAAATTACATCGTACAATTGCAAACTGCCGTATATTTTAGGCAATAATGTCTTTAGCAAGAGACAAAAAGTAGATATCAATATATTATCATCCACGACGCACTCGATGCGAAAAATTTCGAAATATGCGAAATATGAATATAAGCATTTTATTCGGTAATAATTAGAAAAATTTGGCTAAGGTTCAGAGGTTAAATAATACAAGTGTCGTAAGAAAAAAGAAAAGAAAAGAATAGGAAAGGAAGAGAAAATCTAGCATAATAATAGTAATTAAATAAATAATCGATCGGCGATTAATATTAATTAAAATCAATAATGGACAAAGAAAGAAGAAAGGATAGTCGTACGAAACATTTAAGAACAACTCCATTCGCTTTGCCAACGATTCAAATCGTTCAAGCACCAAGAGCAATGACTTATCCCATTGGTTGGTATTTATCTTTCAGATGATTTTCTCGGCTTACTGGCGCCATCTCACCTGCCAAGGCATCTAAAATGCCCGGCAGATTGTTCTGGCACCGCATTGAGATGACGAGCAAAAAATGAGATAAATTGCGTTATCTTAGTCACACGTACGCACACAGTTACGTTGGGTAGATTTTATACTACGTTCACGTTTTCGATGGCGCAGAATTACGTGCGAACTACGAAGTGATTTATTAATTAATGTGATGTTTTCTGTGGGCAATAACGAGGTAAGAGTTTATAATTCCGCCTTCGGTTTCCCTTTCTGCTGAAAAGAAAGGGAAAAAAGGGAAAAGAAAAAGAGGAGACTCGCGACGACATGCGACTTGAACGTCGACATTCTCAACGTCGCGGTGTACTTGGTGCAGAATTATTATACGTACGAAAAAATGTGGTGTAGTATCCATATATACACGAGAGTTCGATTAAATGACGAATCGAGCATTGGGAAAGTTATACATACCACAAGTCGGGGATATCATGTGTTATGAACAATGTGATAATTTTTTAAGACTCGTGCCTAAGAAAATATTTGGATTTTGGAAGCTTTGTCGAATGGATCTTTGATGCACGACGTGTGTATTTTTGTATGGGGATCTGGATTTGGGGAGTGTCTAAAGGATTTTGGAAAAATGACTATTTATTGACAAGACGATGGCGTAATTGCTTTACGATTTCTTCCAGATGTAGTTGAATTATAATCATTTTTTTCTATCGTAGCTGTTGTCTGCTCAAGGGGCAAATCTTAAGACTTCCGGGGCTCTTATATTTTTATGATAATTCGACATTTTCCTATCGATTCTTATCGACCATCCACATCCAATTGATAAATTCACATTGATTTTGATTTAATTCTGGATAAATTACTTGATCTGTTATGATTCCATCTTTTTTCTCTTCTTCTGTTTTATTGCGTTTTTTTTTACTATTAAATCTGCAGGGAGTTTGCATAATTCTTTGCATAACGTAATAAATCAATTTTCTTCTAATGTAATTGATAACGTTCTATGATGCTTTTGTCTTACGCTTACTTCAGTTTTGAAATTTCAGTCAAATATGCGTATCTCTAATTGCCAATATTTTTAGAATAAAAACATATGTTTCTGTTTTAAGAAAAAACACAGTCAGACACACAAGGATTAATTGATAAAAGCATTCTTACGCTGGGATTAATGTATCAATATGAACATATTAGTAACAAGTATTTTTGTAATGGGATTAGTTGCTTTCATTTATTTCTTAATTGTAAAGCACGCGTAGTTTTAAGAAATAGGCTACAATATTATCTAATTTCAATAAATATTCAATAAATAAATAAACTATTAAATTCTTTTAACATATGCGATTAAATGGCAAATTATTGATTTTATACTAGATAATTGTCTTACGCATTCAACTCTTTATAATACACTTTTTTTATGGATTAAATATTTTTTCGTTAAATCATATGATTTATCGATAATTAAATTAGATATTAAAACGAATTAAATTATATAATATGAATATATTTTTTTTTTTAATCGCATATAAGATATACTTTATTTTATTAATAAAAATGTTTATAACTTAAATCCTCATAAAAGCAATAATTTGTATTCTTTTTTTTTTCTTTTTTATATACATATATATATACATTTATTTTAATCAATTACTGCAAAATAATTAACCAAAGTTTTTTAATAGCTAATTCTTTTGTTTTTCACAGAATGCCAATACAGGCACCACAGTGGACTGAATTTCTTTCTTGTCCTGTATGCTATCATGATTTCGATGTGGCTGTACGTGGGCCTATATCATTAGGATGTGGACATACGATATGCCGAACTTGTTTAGCAAATCTCCATCGAAAACAATGCCCTTTTGATCAGGTTTGTGGAATAACATCTAATACCAGGCATCAATTTATTATCACTTGACAATGCTTCTAATGATCTTATTCTAATGATATACAATTAATTCATTATTTGTGATATACAAAGATACCGAGCTATTGATTGTATTGTCTTAATTCATCCATTCATATAATCAAGTTTAATGAAATCATGATAATTAATCTTTATTATTAATTTACATTTTTTCTTAATCCTAATGCATTGTACATCCATTCGCATGTTAAAAATTAAAATTTGAACATTTTTAGAAAATTTCACCCCTTTTATAATGACTTTATTAATTTATTCTATATTTGATTTTTTTGTTCATTAATTTTTCAGAGTATCATTAATACGGAGATTGAAAAGTTACCAGTAAACGAGGCATTATTACAATTGGTCGGCAACTCTGTACCAAGTAACAATGCAGCTACATTTCAATCACTTTTATCCCCTGAAGATTTTACCCATTATCTTGTGGCCAAGCATTGCATCGAGGAACTTGCATTGTACCTCAAACCATGTCAAGCCACGCCAAATAACATTACTGGTAAACATTTCTCTTATTATTATTTTATGTTAATAAAATTTATTTCGATTGCTAATACATATGTGGTACAAACATTCTTTACTTATCTTCTATTTATAATTAATAAAAAGTAAATTAGAATATTTTAACAGTATGCTTATATAATTTTTTCAAATTAAAAAAAGATGCGTGTATTTCAAATACTACTATATTTTATACCATAATTTTTTTTTTGATTCCCGCAAATATTTAAATCGCATTGAAATTTCGAAAAGTATTTAGATCAAATAATTATTATTACAAAAATATTTATATCTGCAACACTGGTGAATTTGAGATGATTCGCACTATTTATATAAGAAGTGTTTTTAAATTTTCAAATAATAGTAAACTGGATGAATTGAATGTTGAGCCAATAATACTTGTTATTAAAATAAAAAATATCACTTTTTCTTTTTAAATATTTTAGTAGAAATATAATGGAAGAAATGAATAATCTAATATACCTTTTATTTAGGCATTGGTATAGTATCTAGACCAATGCAAAGGAAGCTTGTAACTCTGGTTGGATGCCAACTTGTAGAACAGGAAGGGAGAGCAAGAGCGATAAGAGCGGCGCGAAGTTTAGGAGAAAGATCTGTTACAGAATTGATTTTACAACATCAAAATCCTCAACAGTTGAGTGCTAATCTTTGGGCTGCTGTTCGAGCAAGAGGATGTCAATTTCTTGGGCCTGGTATGTTATTTAAAATATTTAACATTTAATGACACGTTGAACGTTTACTTAGAATATCACAGTCTTCAACAATAATTAACTAATAAATCGGTAGATAATAAAACGATAATCAAGATTTCATAAAAGATAGTTTCTCAAAATATTTTACTAAAAATATTCGTTTATTAAAATTTTAATGTATACTTTCGGGCAAATTTTATGTAACTAACTATAAATAATGATTTATTATGCAACTATTGATTACACAATGATACAATAATATCGAAAATTGTTCCAAAGAAATCCGAATTAGAAAGTACGTTTAATATTGATTTTGAAATTATTATTATTATTGTTACAATTACTATTCTACTCTCATTATCGCTACTGTCTCTGTCGTTGTTGTTATTGCTCGTATTATTAATACCAATAATTTATTTTATCAAGGTATGCAAGAGGAAGTGCTGAAACTTGTTCTTTTGGCCCTAGAAGATGGTTCGGCTTTATCTCGAAAAGTGTTAGTTATGTTTGTTGTGCAGCGTTTGGAACCTCATTTTCCACAAGCTTCGAAAACAAGTATAGGACATGTCGTACAACTTCTTTATAGAGCCAGTTGTTTTAAGGTAAGCAATACAGTTAAAATTACATTTACAATGAATTTCCTCCTAACTTTAATATTATGGATAATTAATACGGTTAATAATTTTTATTTTATGGATTTTTATACATTTAAATATATATAAGAAATTGCATAGCACCTATTAAAAGTACTTTAAATAATGTTTACATAATATAAAGGATAAAGTGAATAAATATGGTGTATAGTACAGTGATACAGGCATCCTAAATGTAGATCTGTCATCATCGACAGGATTTGTCAAGGAAATTTTATGCTCATCATTTGTTTAACATATGATGCGTTGACAGGTATCAAAGCGCGAAGGCGATTCGTCGCTCATGCAGCTGAAAGAAGAGTTTCGGACGTACGAGGCCCTACGCCGCGAACACGATGCTCAAATCGTGCAGATTGCGACGGAGGCTGGACTGCGCATTGCCCCGGATCAATGGTCGGCACTTCTTTACGGCGACACAGGCCGTAAGTCTCACATGCAAAGCATCATCGACAAGCTGCAGACGCCCCAATCATTCGCCCAGAGCGTACAAGAGCTCGTAATCGCCCTACAACGTACCCCTGATCCTGGCCAGCTGAGTATTCTTAGACCGCAGCTGGAATTGTTGGCTGCTATAGATCCCAGTCCAGGTATTTCAATCATGATTAAATTAATCCACGCTTATAGACAATGTGTGTACGTTTATGTACAACTTACTTTAAGAAGTATCTAAACAGCACATCTAAACAGCCACTACTGGCATTAAAATTTATTTGATTTTACATAGATTATTGACACTACTACTATTAATCTCACTAACTCTGTATTGTGAGTTTATTAAAATAATCTTGTGATTCGTAGTATTTTTATTACACATACAACAAACACGCACGCACGCACGCACGCACACGCACAAACAAGCAAACACCATAAAAGTATATTGTTGTTGTTGTTGTTGTTGTTGTTATATATAATAAATTATATAAGTTAAAGGAATCAAGTCGATTAAACCAAATGTATATTAGCAATCTTTCCAACTATCTTGAGCGCCTCTTTGGTTTATTTATAAAATGAAATTTTATTTTGCAACGACTCTTAAATAATAATAAATAATAATCGTATGGATAAATAATCGTAAATGATGCCTACATATTGACTTTCAAAAGTTTTTAAGTTATAGAAGTAAATATAAAAAGTATTTATAACAGAGTCATGATAGCAGCAATAATATAATACAATAATTCTTACAATAATAATGATATTTAATTTCTTTGAATGGTTTTTCCATTAATATTTACAGTGGACAATGAATTTGGATTCTTCTCATATGTTAAAAAAAATACATTTTCTTTACTCTTCGATTGCATTTCGCAATAAGAATGTTATTAATTATTAATCAATATGGGCTAAAATATAATAAAATATTTAACGGTTTCGTTTGGATAATGGTAATTTTAAAATCCAGTGGTGTGTCCAATCGAGTATGTAGTCGAACTTATCATTAGCAAATCGCAAAGTTGACATTGACGATGCTCTAGATTGTTAATCGGGAGCTAAAACAGAGATAGCAAGCCACGTTCGATCGTGATAAGGTACAAAGTACACGTATTTCCAGAATCAGAGCCACCCTCGTGGGCCGAGTGCCGAGCAGCATTGGAGGCCATCGAGATCGTCCTGAGCGCCCTGGTTGAGTTCATCCAGCAACATGGGAGTCGGAAGTCTCAGGAAGGCGCTCACAATAGTGGCCAATCCAAGTACAAGGTCAGCATGTGCCGCGATCTGGCGCTACGCGGATCGTGTCCACGTGCAACCAGCTGCACTTTTGCTCACAGTGACGTCGAGCTCGACAAGTATCGCTCGAAGAGCCGGAAACTGGCTGCAAGGCCTCAGAGTCTGCCCATAAATGGTGGCACCGACCCAAAACCCGATAAAGCCCTCATCGTCTCGGCCAACCCCGTTGCCGTCAAGGGCTTTAAGCAATCAAAGGACGCGGCCAACAACTTCAATAAGAATCACGATAGCGCGCACAGGGAAAGTGAGTAATCGTCGTCCACTTGATAAGTTTAGCTTTCAGACTCGACATTTTCTAATCCCATTACTTACTCGATACTTGAATTGTTTCAACAAAATAAAATTAAAAAACCGTTTTAAAAATTACATTACCGGCTCACATCGAACTTTTCACTTAAATTCAATACTCATCCTTGAGTTACACTTAATACTTGGACGAGAATGATAATTATGTAGTATAGTACTATTTACTATAGTACGTAGACATTGTTTTAAATAAGCTGTCGTTATGTCGTTGTCGGCACACTTATCGTCTAATTAACAAACTCGTTTTACTAGAATTTTATCGGCATAGCGCAGGTACAAGATAAACTTTCAATATTCTTGAATAGTAGATTAGATTAAAAACTTGTTGAAAAAGAATAATAAAATAGCGATTTTAAGACGACGGACCGACCGACCGACCGACTTATATGTTACAGCTATTATTGCGCAAATATCCGTCTCAACTAATAACGAACATTTATTTATTAATCTAAATATAGGATGTAAGTAAAAGACGTGCGTCATAGCATTAGATAATAATTTTAATGATTTTTAAGCACTACCGAAGGTTATTAACCGAATTAATACTATTAGCCTTAAAAATAAAGCTCACACCATAGATATCAAACTAACTACAATCATTTGAATTTTATTATTATGTCATATTATTTGTCGTGCATTTATTATTATTTACTATTGACGCCTGAAATCTCAAGACACGTATCCGTCCGATACGGCTCTTGATTTTTTATTCTTTCCAGAGTCTTACTAGTCGTATAATTGCCGATAACGGAAGACATTGCGAAAGAGATGTTTAAAATTCGTTAACGCGCCCTGACAAAATAAAGCCGCATGTCTAAACATTTCACCTAGATTTCAACCCGCTGAACAAGGGTAACGCGGTGCAGCAACCGGGCGCCAACAGTGACAGCAATTTCATCGGCTCGCTGGCGAGTTATATGCTGCCGGGGGCGCAAAACGTCTCGCGATTAATACCCCAGAAGGATATCCAGTGCGGTCATTACATAGTGCCAGCAGGCGCCGGACCTCTCGATTACGCTGCGGCGAATCTCCACCTCTGGGATCCCTCGCAGGTCGGGCCCGCGATTCAAGGCGCCCTACCCAACAACAACAACAACAACAACAACAACAACAACAACAGCAGCAGCAGCAGCAGCAACAGCAACAGCGGCAATCACAACAACAACAATAGTCACAACAACAACAATCACAACAATAACAACAATAACAACAATAACAACAATGGCGGGGGCAGCAACAAGAAGCAGAGAACCGCGGCTAAGACTCTGGCCGTTCTGTTGCAGCGAAGGATGGAAATTATCAATCAGCTGGAGAACATTGTCGGCAAGCAGACGCCCACGCAGATGAAGGCCGTATGTGATTTATTCTTTATTTTACGTATTTTATTAATGAAATATGGAGAGAGTTTGACTTGAGCTTGTCAACTTCTCGAAAGATACTCTACCTATGGCTTTAGGTGGCTTAAGATGTTTGTTCCCATAATTCGTGCGTTAAAATATTCACAAGCTGATATCGATGACAATTTTCTATAAATATTGGATATTAATGCAACGATATTAAATGATATTTAATTAATTAACGAATATGACAAAGGTTCCAGAGCTGTATTAATACACTTTTTCGTGTATTTAAGGAGATTCGTAGGATTTTTGTTTGTTTTTTTTTTCTCCGTTTTGTCCAGTAAATCAATTTACGGTAATTTCATTAAAATTTTATAATACCTTATTACTTTAATTATATCGAGTTTTTCTCGCTATATCTTAATTTTGATAAAATACTCGAGAAATATTAACTGTATCTAAGAAAATTTGACGAAAAAGCAAAATAGGAATATTATTTATACGTATAAAGCAATATGTAAGGGTGAAAAATTAATACAAATTATGTAAAGCAATATGTAAGGGTGGAAAATTAATATAAATTATATATAAAGCAACACTAGATTTAAATATTTCAATTTCAGAACTACTATGATATTCAAAGTGACTCGTTGTATCCTAACTTTTCTATTTGGACAAACGCACCTACAAATCAAACAAATTCAACTGGAAATATTAATTTTACCAATAATTTTATTTGCAACGACTCCATACTGTACGATGATGAATTTATACCTTTCGATGCTTCATCAGCTAATAAGTATGGTCCTATATCTAGATTATCAAAAACTATTTTGAGGTGAGCAACTTATAATTTTTATTTGATTTTGTTTCAGTTTCTTTATTTATTAATAACTTTATTTGCTCCTTTATTTTCTTATTCATTACATGATAAATATAATGTAATGAATCAAGAAAGCGACTGTTGCCTTAAAAAGGATTAATGATTTTTTAATATTGAACAATGGAAAAAATATTTTGTTAATATATCAGTATCACCAATATATTGACCATTACTATAATACATGCTATGGATAGTTTTAACAAAAGCGATAATAATTAAGATAATAATAATAATAATCTTGTGCCAATAGACCAACAAACGGAGTTCAGCAAAATGGTTTATATAACGATGGTGTTGCAACATCGATTTCATCTCTTCGACCTGTACCAGCATCTAGTCCTATAGCTTCACGATTTTATAATCAACGTAAGTATTTTTCTTTAATATTATATCCTTATAAAAGAAGGAATAAAAGTTCATTTCAAGTTTGTAAATTAATTAACATAAGACATGTTAATATCATACGAAATATTTGCTATAACGATTAAAATTATTTTTTTAATTTTCTCAATCGTTTTTTTGAGTAAAATTATTTCACTAGTAATGTAATGTAATGTACTTCGATTAAATTGAGATTTAAATATATATTCATGGCTTTTATGCTGCAGCTTTCACTGCTATAAGTACAAATGGAGGAATGCAACAAATTGCTAATTCCAGTCTTAGCGATGCCTATATTACTCTTAATCGGAACTTATCGGAGTCTGCTTCTCAAATGCAAATTCCTCGTCAAGATTGTATGTCAAAAGAGTACGTACAGTAAAATATGATTTCTCTCTATCACACTCTCTCTCTCTCTCTCTCTCTCTCTCTCTCTCTCTCTCTCTCTCTCTCTCTCTCTCTCCCTCTCCTTGTATGTTAATGTTAATGTAAGGTAATGTGAACAAATTGAACTGATTTTTTCAGTTTGATAATTGAGTCGCAAAAGGTAAAGCAACAATTGAAAAACTTGGAGAAAAAGATCAATGATTTAAAGGTATTTATTGTTCAAGCAAAGATAAAAAATATATATATATATATATATATATATATATATATGTATATAGTTTTAAGGATTGTATGTAATTGTTTTTCTACTTTGGCATTTGTCCCTTGATAGCTCGCTACTCAAGGCACAACTTACAGCGAAGGTGAGCGACTAGCTCAAGAGCTACAGATGATTGAGGCCGGGATTAGAGAGAAGGAAAAGGATGTGTGCAATTGGAGTCCATACAGTAACATGGCTTGGATTCAACCCCCAGTCAATGTAATGACCAATCAAAATTCAATTAGGGACTTTAAGCCTGAAGAGGTATGCTTAAAAGTAATGATTTGATCGTAATGTCGTTAATATAGTAGATGTGATAAAAAAATTTAAATAATTGTGTTTGAATTTGATATGAAAATATTCTGTATCGTGATTACTACTACTACTATTATTATTATTATTATTATTATTATTATTATTATTATTATTATTACTCTTAATACTACTACTGCTACTACTACTGCTACTACTACTGCTACTACTATTACTACTATTACTACTACTACTACTACTATTATTATTATTATTATTATTATTATTATTATTATTATTATTATTATTATTATTATTATTATTATTATTATTACTCTTAATACTACTACTGCTACTACTATTACTACTATTACTACTACTACTACTACTATTATTATTATTATTATTATTATTATTATTATTATACATTATTGTTATATTTCTGCTACCACAATGTTAACTATATTTCATAGTCTGTGTATCTGTATGTATGCTTTTGTATTAATTCATATATATTCAGAGTAATATAAGTTTTAATTTGAAATTATTAATTGATAAAAGCTTACATTTTATTAAACTTCATTCAACGTGATATCTTTTTCTTTTAATATAATATTGTGTATATTTAATTGTCTTCAATTTGTCTTGTTATATCACATTTCGTCCAATTTGAAATTAATTAATCATATCAATTAATAAAATGTCACTAATAAACAACTAAAATTTGTGATTGTACTTATTACTATTTAAGGATGATACGTATGAAGCTGATATTGCAAACGACATGCGAGAGTTTGAGTTAAGATGGGAGTCAGAACTGCAGGAACACGAGAAGATCTGGTCCAGTGAGGAGGATGTCAAGAAATGATAAAAGCATCGACGATGCTTGCTCTTGCAAACCCATTAGATATCAAACTTAAATAGTGCACTATTGTACTTGGTGTTGCTATTTTTTATTTCGGCAAAAATTTATTTAATAAGGATGAAATTAGGAGTATACATGCGTTTTAGGTCGAATGCTTATCTATTTCGTTTGTACATAGTTTTGAAAATCTCTCAGAATTTGTATCATTGCGATGATATGTACACATACTTGTTATCATTTTCTTCTCGAAAATCTTACTCTTGTTCCATCAGAGTACGAATTTATTGTAACATAACCTCAATGAGGTTAAATACTATTATTAATACAGGGATTCGTACTTTCGGATGTGACGTCAAAACGAAATTAGCAAAAAATGAATGAAGGTTAAACGAAGCCATTGTAATAATTTGAAATGTTAATAATTATTTCAGTTTGGTATTCTGCGATATTGACTGAAAATGAAATAAGTCACACGGCGTGGGAGTATCTTTCTGTAGTCATTGAAAAATAGTATATATAAACCTAGAAATGAGGAAAACGTTGTTTTACAAAAACAAAATGTGTACGTGGCTGATGTGAAATAGGGGAGATTTGTTAAAATTTAACAGAAATTAATCGTCAATGTTTTATAAACATGACAGAGTGTAGTATATTTATTTATATATGTGTGCAGGTTGGGCGAAACTCAATGATATCGCTGCGATATGTACTGGGGAACTATAAAAACACACGTTAATTGACCTGGATTTAAAAGGTTAAGTGAAAATATAGATACGTTTTAAGTAGAACAAAAAACATATAAATGTTGAGAATATTAGCGATCAACGAATCATAGTATGATGAATATCTTGAAATTTCAGAAGAATAACTTGCGTTGGTGTTTTTTTGTTTTTTTTTTGCGGATCGTTAATGTGTTTCGGATGTACTTTTAATAACATAAATTTTAATCTATTCTTTTTCAAATTCATTTATAACTTTTTTAGATTTATTTACAAAAAAAAAAAAAAAAAAAAAAAAAAAAAAAAATTTTTTTTTTTGTACAATTTTTATTATTTTTATATAAAAAATAAGGTATATGTATACATCTATTATGACTGATAAGTTCTTAAATTTCAAGATTTCATCAATTCGATTCTATATAAATAAAAATAATAAAAATTTAACTATCTTTATGGAAAATTCGCATATTATTATGTAGTTAATTAAAGGAAAGTTCATCTGGGGTAAAGTCATTCTTTAACATTAGAAATTATAATGTTCGTGCACTCTCGAAATCCTCGAAGATATACTTCCTACGGTCTTGCTTACAAAGATTCATACGTTTATATATAATGACAAGCCAAAAATGCAAAAAAAAAAAAAGAAGATTTACTTCAAGGGCCCAGGGACAAAAAATACTTTATATAACTTTTATTCATGTACGTAACTTTTGTCTACCTCCAATTTATATTTTAGGTGATTATAAATATTAATAATATATTTATATTATAATGTATGACATAATGAAATATATTATGTAGTAGCTTATATCATCATGTATGAATATATTTGTAAGTAGGCAAATTGTAATACGTACTCAATATGCAATTACATAATTATATTTTTTTCCTCTGAGGAAATGTCTTTTCGTAATCAATGAACAAGAAAAGCAACAACATTGATGCGGAAACTTTTTCGTCATTTTTGACGCGTAAAAAAAGAAAGAAAAAAAAAGAACATTCTTTATTGTGCCTAGAAAGGAGCAAAGCATTTCTTTTATTCTATTTAAATATAAAAGAAAATAATAAATATAAATATATATCTGAAGTCGATAAACGATAAAGACTGGTAATCACAATTGCAAAAGAAAATAATTACAATTGTCTGTAATTACGACATATGAACATGTGACCCAACAATGTTTTTACAGATTTTTCAACGTTCTTTTCTTTGTTTGTTATATTTAAATCAAGTTCGATTCTGCGGACTTTGCTTTTGAGCGAAATACATATAGAGTCACATTGGCTTCGATAACGTTTATGTAGAAAAAATTTACATTATCATCTGGTTCTACGTATATTCTTTGTTTCAATTTTTTTCATACTGGGGACAAAAGATACTTTTTTTGTCTATTGATATATACTCTCTTTTATCCTTCTGTTTTTCTGTTAGTACTTTGTTTCGAATATTATTTTTCTTATTACGTTTTCAAGTTTACGCAGTTTGTGAATTATTAATTTGTTCATTTATTTTTCTTTTCGTAAAGATGCATTACCGCTTTGCGAAAAAGGAAAAAAAGAAAAAACTATCAAATTGGAATTATATTTTATTTGACTCTAGTTTTTTTTATGATACATAATGTATAGCCGATTGTATAATGGATTCCAGTTTTATTGGAAGTGTTGATAGACTTTTTACGAGATCAGCAGGTATTTGGAGATGGCAAACCGTCAATCGTAAAAAAATAGGATTATTTTTATACCTTTTTGAAGAGACTAAATACGTTCTGGCAGGATATTTTTATTTCATAAAAAAAGTTTTTACGTGATCTTATAGAATTTATTAAGGTTATCGCAATTTTAAGTGTACGTTCTTCGATGAAATTTGATTATTTCCTTCGTTCGTACAATCATTCTGCTATATAAATAAAACCAATAAAATAATAAAAGTTATCTTAAACAAGGTAATGTTTTGCTAGAACATAATTGATTTCTTCCGATAAAAAGACAACGGTGCAATGACATCAACTTGATTTTCCAAATTAATTTTTTCTTCTCTACAGCTTTTGAGGTTTGGAAAGAAAACTTAATGCATTTTGATAGTCAGAAAAAAAAGAATCGAATGAAGACTGTAGTATAAGAATAAAGTTGTTTTGCCTCATTAATTGTTTGATTGCGAAAAAAAAACTGTGTTTTGCAAACTTGTTATTGTTCGATTTATATTTCTTGTATTCATTTTTTTTTTTATTTTTTTTTTAATCATTATTATTATTATTATTATTATTATTATTACTTATTAATAGTAAGTTTCTCATTTTTTTTCTTTTTAATCTAAATGTTGCTTACGTTTATGCTGAATCTCTTAAAATGGCAAGTACTTGGTCACTTTACTCGCACGTCTCCTTAATTTCTGGTGGGTAGTTTTTATCTAATGATAAAGTAATTCAATTAAAAATGACAATATAAAGCTTACGATTGAGCATTGATAAAGAAAAAGGAAAAGAAAAAAAAAAGATGCACTTAAACAAAATGTAATTTTTACGAAAGTTTTAAGTTACAAAACAATAACTGGAAGTATTGTGCTCGAATTTCAACAAAATGTAAACAAACTCGAAACGTTTAATAATATTTAGACTGTCCGTATTATTCGTAGACAAAATTCACTCAATGTCAAATTCAAATACAAAATTTCTTAAATTTTTAGCTTAAACGACATAGTAACAATTACCTCATCCTCATATTAATGCTCCACTAATTATAAATGAAATGTAATTTTGCACATTTTTGAAGAAACTATGAAATTGTCAATGAAAAATTTCCACCAGGAAAAATAACATTATATTGCGCGTATGAGTAAGTAGACTGAACAAGAGACAAAATAATTAAATAAATAATAATTACAAAAGTAAGGAGGGCTGTGTAAACAATGGGAAGTAAAAAGCGCAGCAATACTGTTTGTGCAAGCTTCAGATTATTTGCATGTTAAACATGTCACTTTATATATGTATGACGATAAATGATACGCGCGTATCTGTGTTAATGGTATAAAAAAAATAAAATAAAATAAATAAAAAAATAAATAAATAAAAAAAGTAAAAATGATAAAAACAAGTACGTATGGAAAAACTTGCACATGTACGACAGAAAAGTAAAAAAAAAAAAAAAAATGAAAGAAAGAAAGAAAGAAAAACGAAAGTCGTTTGAACATAATGTACCGAAAGTATATGCTTCCATATGCAAGCAGGTACATCAATTTTTACAAACATTAGGGAATACTTCGCTTGACGAAAGATAATAAATAATTATTCATCACTAATCATGGAGTGGTTTTTTTTCTTCTGTTTTTGTTTATAAAATAATCAGATTGTACATGAAAAACCAATCATGAGTAACGAATGGTACGTTCGAATTTTTGTATTATAAATTAAATACCAATATTTTAACATTAATAAAGACAATTTTCCACGGTTACGTAACGTATTTTTAACGTTAAGTCGTATTGTATTAGACTATTATATAATTGAATGTGATTTTTTGTTTACAGAAATGTAACAGTTTATAGCTTTATTACTTTGATAATGTAAAAACGACGGTCAAACAAACAAAACAAAACAAAATAAAAACAAAAAAAAATCTTTATAAAAATAGCAAAATATTAAATTATAAACAATTGTAATAATTGTAATGTGGCTGAAAAAAGTTCTTGTTGGCTATACGAACTGTAAAGACGTCCTTCTCACTAGTTGCTCCTAATGTAATACGTAAATATTAATTTGTCTTTAATATTTGTGTATTATTAATACAATCATTATGAAAATAAAAATAAATGATTTTGAATGAAAAACGATATCTTTATTTCTGAGACAAGAATGTTAAATATTCTTGTATAATAAAGAAATATATTTTCAATTATTACATTTTATTGTAATAATATGAATTACGAGAGAGAGAGAGAGAGAGAGAGAGAGAGAGAGAGAGAGAGAGAAATCAAACAGAATCATTTAATTTTGTTGATTTATTTAAAATGACATTTAAATTTAAAAATACTTTTTTTTTTTTTGTTTAAACGTCAAAGAGGAATGATGTACATAATTGAAACACTACTACTCACTTAAAACATCTTAAAATTTAATATAATAAATTTTTGCTAAAATGTTTGTAATACATAATTAAATTTAATTATCAAAAATTCGAGCGAATCATACGCAATCAAAATTTATCTTTGTCTATAATGACAGAATAATATAAAACAATGCCAATGTTTGCTCGTATACTGCCTGAATAACGAAGGTTAGAGAGAATTTACACTTTTTAACGCTCGAATACTTTTTTAAATCATGTTTTTTCTACAATAATATGCGATTTATATTAACAATGATTATGATTAGGCGATTATTATGATATTTGCAATCTATGCTCTTAAAGTCGACAAAAGAAAAAAGAAAAGAAAAAGAAATTAATGTATATTTTCTAATTAATAAGAATGTTTCATAACTAACGTTTTATTTAACAGAAAATTTCCAAAATTCATGAGCCTGAATTTACTTGATTCTTACATTGTTTCAACTAATTTATAAATTATCTTAGATAAAATTATAATTTATTGTCCGTAAGCATAAGTATTCGATTACAGTATAATTCATTTATGTCAATTGAATTCACTATAAAAAATTGTATTTTCTTTCTTAGTCAATCTATATTAATCAATCGTTTATTTACGAACTAAATGTTTGAAAAATAAAAATAAAAAATGATTTTTCATTAATTTGCAAATAAATCATGCTGATCCTATTACCTGGCCATTATTTAAATATTATAGTGTTCTATATTATTAATGATGAGACAAAAAAAATTGCGTCGAGATGAAAAAGTTCATTACCTATTATTTCAATTAAAAGTTTTGTTTCTCAAAACATTAGGATCCAGAAAATTATTACGAGTATGCATATTTATTCGAATACAATATGTTGAAAGTACATTGTGTAATAGTAAATATTACTACTACTATTACTATTAATATATAATATTAATTATATTACATATTAAACACATTGCATTTGTAAATATATTTATGCATACAATGTAACATTTTATGTTTAAAAACTAAAAAAAAAAAAATATATATATATCTGTCGGTAATTGGTTCATCAGCACAACAATTGAATAAAGGGACAGACTCAAGTATTGGTTAATTGTATTAACAATAAGATTTTATGAAGATTTACGTTTTTGCAAAGTAAAGTACATTTCAATATCTTAGACATCTGTTAAGAAAAAAAAAAAAGTATATGTGTATAATTTAATTTTTACATTTTTATCTGTAATATAATAAACAAATGTTATGTGAAAAAAATGACTTATGTAAAACTCTAATTTATTATTTATATATATATATATATATATATATATCCTAATTCTAATAATAAAATATAACAAAGACTATGGTTGTAAGAATTACTTTTAGAAAAAGAAATTTCTTCAAAGATTTTTTTTTTTATATCTTTTAATAGTGACAATTTATTATTTTGCAAGATATACATTTATTTGTGGTTTACATAAGTCAAAAGTCATTTTCTAGAAGATATTTATTAATAAATTGACAAGAGCAATCTATTAGATTTGGTAGCTAATTTGCATTTCTTAATTCTTAAAGAATCAAGTAAATTATTATAAAGATTAGTTTTTTATTTGCATCATATCTCTGGATACAATTATTTATATATATATATATATATATATATAAGTATTGGGAATTAAGTTATTGAAATAAATGATCTCGTGGAGACAGAGAACACAGAATATTGTTCGAATTACCAAGAAATAGAGCAAAATATAAATTATAATAGAAGAAAATTTAATAACTGAAATAAAAATAATAATTACAGATTTAAGGGCATATATAAATTCTATATACACCACTTAATTATTTTATTCGTCGATTAACGAATAGTTAGTTTTATGAGAAAAATACACATTCACCCATGTAATACTTATGAATTGTTTATAATATTTGCTTGAAATTCTCTCAGATCAATAATTAGGCGGCACGAGGATATTTTAATTATTTAATCAATGAAATCAATTATTGATTAATCTAGGGCTTATTCTTATATAAAGGGCCATAATACATTGGATTCCTGTATAATGCTAATAATCCGTTTAAGAGTATTAAAATTTACTTAAGTTTGGCAATTTGTATATTATTATAGAATAAACAAACTATCGATTCTTTCGTTGGCGTAATGAATCATCCTCTAACAATCTTATTCTGCGTTAAATGCATTTTTTCTGTATTTTTTGTCCAACAAATGTAATATATTTATATACTCAATATAATTTGGTTTTAAAGTTTATTTGTATTTTTGCCCCCAATCCCATTAATGTTCATCGCCTAATTTTCGAAAAATATTCCTACCAGACTTCTCATTTCACTAATAATCAACATGTATATTTCAACTTGCATGAAGCAATAATTGGCATAATTTTTGTAATAGTACATATTACAAATAATACGACTGAAAAATCTCAAAAATTCGACGTATTACATATTAAGATAGCAAGGTACAAGTTTACGAGGAGATTCAATAAAAAAAGTGGACCTATTTCGTATTAAAAATACAAACGATTCGACAATGTTCTATAAATATATTAAACAAAATAAAAATAAAGTAAAATAAATTATTAAATAAATAAACTTTGCTTATTAAATTACTTATTAAAAGCAATATTGTTCGTAATCGTACGTCGGCATTAACAAACAATCAAAAATAAATAAATAAAAAGGAATAGATTTAAATTTTTAAATTTTAGAAAACGGTAAGAAAAAAAAAAAAAAAAAAAAAAAAAAAAAAAAAAAACTCATAATAGCGTTATGTGTTAAAAAGCTGGAATTTAAGTGGACAAACGGCAAATTCGTTGGGCCTTAGTGCCAAAATGTAATATCGCTCCTACTTAATGAATATCTCGTACGGATAAGAAGAAGAAATAAATAAATAAGAAAGGCGTGCAGACGTAATTCGTGGTGTAGATATTAGTACGCGTGCCGCAATGTCCAGGACGATCGTGAGAAAAGAAACGAACCGTTATAACAATATCGTCAAGCAGAGAATGATGACCTCTCGGATCCTGGCTACGGGTACGCGTGTGTGCGTCAACCGACAGCTGCCACGAAACCTGCCTTACCGGCCGTGGTTTTATTCAGGCCAGATGTCGCCCCCCACTTGGCATTCCGAGATTTCCTGGAACGCGGCCACCCGTTCGGGAGTTCCCGTCGTTCCCGTTGTTTGGCCCGCACGACTCGCCGCCTGTCGTCGTCGCCTCGGAGTTTCCTGGTGCGCACCAACCCCCTGTCCCAGATCGTTCGAGCTCGGTTGGGACACGCAGCAGCCGCATCAAGGACAAGGACGACGCCCGGGTGGTCTGCCACGCGTACCCACTGATCCCTTCGACCAGCCTCGACCTGCGGCTCCTTCGCCGGCCTGGGACGACGAGGTTCTTCCAGCGGCGGACGAGCAACCAGAAGGTGAGTCGCTTGGATAAGGGCGAATCCTCGTTGGGACTGGCCCTCGACTCCCACGCGTGTCTCATGTTCCTCAAAACACTCCGTATGCTAATGCTCCGTGGGCCTAAGGCCGATTTTGATCGCAAGCGTTCTCCCGCCTTTTGTCGCCTATTCTTCTCTTCGCTCCGTCCCCTTTGCCCCCCTCCCCCCTCTCCCTCCTCTCTCCTCTCTCACACGGTCTCACTCTCTCTCTCTCTCTCTCTCTCTCTCTCTCTCTCTCTCTCCTACATCTATCTATCTCTATCTGATTCGGCCAGCTCGCTCCGGAGCAAACGGATGCCAAGGGCCTTGTAATGTCTTCTTACGCGATATCCGGGGATGCTGCCCCTTCCTCCTAGATCGTGGAAGCCTCGTGGCTCCGCAGACTAGCAGGACATGGGCAACGTGGAGAATGAGACAGCCGGGGAGGACGGGAAAGAGGACGAGAAGGAGTAGGAGGATCGGCTCGTACTCGACTATGTCCAATAATTTCTATTTATAATTTGAAGGTTCGAATGGTGAATGGTAGTGCATGCCTCGCGCTTTCCGGATTTCCACAACTTTTTATCATCGATCGCGCCCGCTGTGCGCTCCCGAATTGGGAGAGCGGCATTTCAAATCGCCTTACGCTTAGATCATTTGCTAATCGCGAATAGGCCCGTAGTGATAACCCGCGATGATACAGAACATTAAAAACTAGTAACTAAATATTGATCTCCTCCACGCGGTGATTACTTAATGCCGAGTCCGCGCTTAATATTAATATTAAACAAAAATCTATCCGTGCTTGTGCTCGTCATATTACGATCAATCACGACGATTTGTGATGCACGCGCGAGTAAATAAATGCATGTGTTGAGCGTGTGTATAGAGACGTTGACAGCTAATCGGGCACCAAGCGCTAAGAAAAACTGTCATGATCATCGGCGACGCTGCTTGAGAGAGAGAGAGAGAGAGAGAGAGAGAGAGAGAGAGAGAGAGAGAGAGCGATCGCGCGTGGCCGTTAACTGGAGCATGATTGGGGGGGGTGATGGAGAAAGGAGGCAGGTACGATCCCTTAAATTGCCAGAGTCACAATCACTCGAAACCTGATAAAAAAAGAGAGTCGCGGTGAAAGAGACGGGCGAAGCAGTGCCGCGGAAAATCGAAGGCACGGATGAGGCATCTGGGCTGAAGCGGCGACGGATTCCTCGAGGAGTCGACGTGCCTCCGCCCTACACCCGAGTGAAAGTGGGGCAAGGTGTTGGGCGCAGGTGCTTGCTTACCGTTAGCCACAGCAGTCGCCCCCCCTCGGGTGGGTACGCGCGACCTCTCGGTACGTGGATATGCGACGTCGCAGCCGAGGGTAAACGGGAATCGCGATTCTGCCTGATATATCGTTTTCGGTAGAAGTTGGCGATGGTATGGGGATAGCGTTGGGTGGGGGGGGGGGGTGAGGTCGGGGGTGGGGGGGGAGAGATTCATGTAATTATAGCAAACGCATTCGCCGCCTCGATCCATGCCAATTACCTTTAGCGACGTTGGATTTCATCGAAATGCGTGCGGTCAGGTCAGTAGTGCGTCGAGAGCCTTACGACTTTCAAGATACTTGGGCACGGGAATTTAAATGACTTTGCTCGGCGGGAATAATGTGGCATTGCATGCATGCCCGTGAGAAAAGACGTAGGATTTGCTCTCGTGCGCTCTTTGCGTAAAAATAGAAAGTTAAAGTCCAAAGAATAATAGTGAAATAACAGTGACGGCATAAAGCTCGTTTAAAAGTAAGGTCAATACGGAGCTCCGACTACTATTGGCCAATAAAGTTAATTTCCACGGCATTTTATCTTAATGTAATAAATAAGAGTAATTCCTTTCGGCTAATCGTATCTACAAACGGATTATTAGTTTTGTGCATAAATTCGGACGTGCAATTATTTTAGGTATTGAAGTTGCACTGTTGCAACGGAACAATCGTACTCCCGTGCAGCTCCTTTTCGAGAAAATCCTATCGTCGATCCTCAATATGTTTGAATGAATTGGCAGCCACGTTTAGCCTCGATTAGCCTCAAAGGTATGCCTATATTGAATTTTATTTAAATTGATAAATTTCTCGATCTCATTGAAAATCACGATGATGGAGATTGTATTCGTGTACTTTATTTTATTGTCATTCGGTTGGAAAAATTTGTTGCATTGCGTAATCGAAGAAATCTGACGAAATGTCGTTTAATGTGTCAATGGATCGTAATCTTAAGGAAATGTGCGCGTAAAGCGTAGACGAGAGATATTTGTCAGCGTACGGATGCTGTAGTACAGCTTCCAGTGACTGATATCGAGGATCATCGTGAAAAGGGAAAAATTCATGTTTTACCTATAGTCGTTTATGCACAAAAAGTCGTGTGTATCCGCTCGATAAATTGTTATTAGATGTAATGAAACATAATTCTTTTTCCTTTTTAATTCCTTATTGAAAGAGTAACAAAAGGTATTTTATAGTTTATTGGAACTCTGAGTTGGTACGTGAGTAGCTATAAAGTTCTAGCGGTCAGACCATTAAAAACTATATTAAAAAAAAAAATAATAAATAAAAAAAAAAAAAATTCTACTAGACTTCGACAGTGTTAAGCTACGATAAAGTTGTTTCATATGCGTGTAATAGAGATAAATAAAAATATAATCGATTTATAGATCGAGCATAACTACTTGATTACTTCATCACTGCAAGCGTGTGTCTATCCTTTTACGGAAACGTATTTTCTTCCTTAAGTTCTTAAATAAATTTATTAGCAGACGAATTTTTCGGCTATTATTATTCTTTCAATTAATATCCTTGAAATATATAATATCTCTGCAACAAATATCGCGATAACAAATATAAAATAAATACTATAACATTTTATAATACTATAACAATAATATAAGTATTTTATATTTATAATATGCATGATAATTTCATTATTAGTATCGCACAAAATTTATTTATTTGCGCATTCAGTGTACGTAATTTCGTTTATTTCACAAGACTGATTAATGCTTTTTCTTATAAACGATTCTCGGTTTTCTAATTAAGAGACAAAATTTTCTCTAACGCTACTTATATTTATTATTATTATATAATAATAATACAAAATTAATTATGTAAATAGTTATTAATTTACATTCTTTTTTTTTTGTTTGTTTTTTTTTTTAACATACAAGTCACTTTTTAATTGTCACTTATATGTAAACGAAACTACGGATGAATGTTCTAATTTTTTGTATTTTTTCTACACGACCAACATAAAATTATTCGACAGCGGTTCATATATGCATATTCCTTGGCGTTAATTAAATTATACAAACTGAAAAATAATTAAAAAATTAAAAATAAAATTCTTTTACTAACGATAAAGTAAGAATAACAATAATACAGCTAATGGATCCCTGAACTCTACCGTATAGTTTACATTTGGTAATGAAATTTTCTTTCAATCTTAACTGCTTGATTTACATCGATGTTCATAAAGTTAATTACCGATTTGAAAGACAAAAGAAATGAAAATGTATATTTTTTACTTTTCGCTGAATTCACGAAATAATCTTAGGCAGCGGAAGAAAAAGAGAAATACCTTCGGTTATACTACTGATTAATATTTTCATTTTTGTTTCTTAGCAAATTGTACATGCTCTAATGATTATTTACTGCATGAATATAATGATAATTCATATATTCATATAATATTAAGATAATAACGTATTATCACCGTTTTGTTTATATCAAATTTTTGTTAAAAATAATGAAAGATTAGGCAAAAATAAATGGTTCGTAAAAATTATGTTATTTTATATTTTTCAATATTAATATTGTATAATAATTGTATTACGTAAGGCTATTAAAATATTGAATGATTATTATAAATTTTTACGACAATAATAAATTATGTCATAAAGCGTTATTGCGCAAATGCGATCATATTTACTCAAAGCGTGTATTATTAGTATTAAAAATTCCTTCTCTCTTTTTTTTTTTTTCTTTTATATTTTTGTTAATAAAATAAAATAATGTTTGTTAGGACTTGAATATATCGATCATTTCATTTGTACTGTAAATATAAATGTATTTTCCTGAGACTGAAAAAATTTATAAACGTGATTTTGATGTGAAATTATGGTGTTGAAAATATGAAAAACGCTAGTGTAAAATAAGATAGAAATACTCTGTTATACTGCTATTATATAGAAATAAAATAATAATAATAATAATAACAATAACAACAACAACAACAACAATAATAATAATAATAATAATAATAATAATAATAATAATAATAAATCCCTAATATTACTTGGCTATCATTACAACTGCCTATATTCGATAAATTAAAGTTAATATGGAAAAGGATCAAATGTACATATATTGTTGTATATGACCTTAAGCGTACGTTTAATTATATCAATTTCCTGATTATCCTTCCCAGACATACGACTTTAATGCCTTTTAAAGCTCCTCAAACTCCGTATAAACCAAGTGGCAAAAATCTAAAATCTCGCAAACTCCTAAAAATGTAAACCTTGTGATTGCAGCCCGTGGAGAAAATCCGCAGCATTATCGATTACGCGTGACATAGGAGGATGATACCGGGTCCAGGAGCAGAGGTACATCGGGAGGCGTGAGCGGGGCAAGCGCGAACCGAGTCCGCGGCGATGCCCGCGAGCAGCCTGTCTCGGAGTGTCCAAGGGTTAGGAGTGGCCGCGGTGGTCTTATCCCCGCCCCCCGCCCACTACCTTCATGAGTTACCGGCCCAGGATGAAGAGCGCCTTGGCAAGTTATTCCAGACCCTGGACCTCGACGGCAAAGGCCGTATCGACGTGCACGACCTCTCCAAAGCGCTCCACGAGGCCGGCGTACACGAGCATTATGCACAGGTGCGTAAGTTTCGGGTTAAGTTTTTCTTCCGACGCTCGATTTATCAATTACCAGACCAAAGTCTTTACGTTAAATAGTTTTATAAAAGTCGATAGCGGTAATTGCCAGTGATCGATAACGGTTCGCTAGCAATACAATTTTCTCTTTTATGAATTATGAATGATGTAGCTTGCTGTAGTCGAGTCGCAAGTTGGTTAATAATGCAAATCGTTAAGTAATACAAAAACAATATGAAAATAATAATTTCACATGCATTATACATTTTTCATAATTTACTATTTAATTTATATGGCAAAACTGTCATACAATATTTAAATGCTATTCGAATTAAAAAGTTGACAATTATTTTGTTTAGATAATGATTGTAAGCTCCATTTTGTCGAATATATCATTTCATTAATTCGAAATTGTCTAAAACACTTACACGTTTAACATTTTATATTGCGATAAATATCTTAATCGCAACGTGTATGTATCACGATTAGTTTAATTTATTCATAATGTATGCCAATTCAACGAAAAGCGATTTTACATTGAAATATTGCTAAATCTCAATATGAACATTTTCTCTAATTTTAATTGCACTAAAATTGAACTAAGTAAAGTAAGGTCATTTTATTTTATAATAACAAACCATATACGGGTAAAGTTGAAAATATATTTATTAATAATTTTTTTCACAGAACAGCAAGACTCAATTTATTGAAATTAATTTTTATAATCTTTCGACTGGCACGATCAAATTGCTTTTTTTTTTTTTTTTTTTTTTTTTTTTTTTTTAACGAAAATCTTTTTTTTTTTTTTTTTTTTTTTGATACACGTTGAGATGAAGAAATTTTATTTTTTTACTCTTGGTTTGCTTATAGAAAAAGAAGGATGGTAAATTATATACTATGAAAAATTCTCTCAATGCAGTTGCACTGTAATACAAAAATTAGTTTAGTAAAACGCTTAATTAATTTTATTTTATACCTATACCTTGTGTATATGTTATTAACGATTCATTTATTATTTCCGAATTACTATTACGAGCATAACACTGTAATAAAACGACTACTTATCAAGCCCCATATACATTCATTGCAAAATTATTCGTATAAAAAAATATGTACTAATAAAAAAAACTTTACCTTTAGAAATTTTTGGCCCGCTCCGATCAAACAAAAAGCGGTGATATCACTTTGGCAGAATTCATCCATTATGTACGGGAGCACGAGAAAAATTTACGTCTGCAATTTACCGACCTCGACAAGAATAAAGACGGTATGTTACTCGTGATTCTCTATATACCATACAACTATTATTAATATCCATTATTAAACTAAAATAAATTTCTTAAAGCTTTATTAAACATTCTGGTCCTAATTGTTCTTTAATTTAAGGTTATGTATTTGTATACACATTAGTGATATTTATGAAAAAATCTTCATGTAACATTTGCTTATGTACAGGGAAAATCGATTTAGAAGAATTAATTAAGGCATTTAAGGATCTTGGCATCGAAATGGAACGAGCGGAAGCAAAGAAATTGCTTCAGAGGTTTGTTCAATTAAATTAATATTTTTACTCTAATTGCTATTAGTTAAATAAAAAATTATAGGACGTTTTACCGAGAGTTTATCTTAAGAAATTTTAACACCCCATTGCGAATGTATAAAAAAGACATTTCATTAATTTTAAAAAATTACGTTCTAAAATACACGTACGTTTTTGCAGAATGGATAAAGATGGAAGCCTTAACATTAGTTTTAATGAATGGAGAGACTTTTTACTTTATGCGCCTACTACTGACATTCATGAGCTTATTCAGTATTGGCGGCATTCCACGGTGAGTTTTGATATACTTTAACCGATGAGCTTTATGTGTTTAATGTGTGGGTATTAGGGGATAATATAATGGTACGAAAGATCGACGATTTTAAGGAAATTAGCTTAAAACGACGTGATTTTATGAAAATAATATTCTTCTGATTTCTAGGACTTTTGTATGCTGAATATTTTTAAATACTCTATTGTTTGAAATTTTATTGGCGAAACAAGTATTATGATAACAATTTTATTATACATAAATGTTCATAGGTATTATCAAGCGTTATAAACATTTCGAATAGAAATGTCAACTTATTGTGACTATAGTAACTAAAAATTACGAAAATATTAAGAAAAACTAACTGGGTTCTAAATAAAAAGCATCCATTTTTATAAAAACTACATAGCTTTTGGAATTTTCAAGGCGTATAATTAGCAATTAGATTTATAATAATTACTTTGACGATAAAAATGGTCCCGTTACTCTTTAAACATTGAAAGCGTTGTTTATTATATTAGCTAATTGAATTTTTATAAATCGTATATGCTTTCTATTTTGTGGGAATAGGATTTTTGTTCATAGTGAAATTCCATGTGCGCCAATACACTTCTTACAGAAAGAATTTATCAGTGATATTTTTACGTTAAATATTATATTTAAATTGATGATTACATTTTACTATAATTGTACTATAATTTGTATAATGCAACATTCACTATCGAATGTATTCTTAAAGAGCCGAATCAGCAAATGAAAATTTGCAAGTAATAATTATTTTAATACTATTATATGAACTTGGTTTGCAAACTTATTCCTTTATTGTATTCGATATGTTTAATATAAATCGATAGTGATATTTTTTGGGTTATATAGATGATAAATATTATAATTACTTTGACTGTATGATATTGGCAAAAGCGTCTATTCATGATAATGATTGAGCAATTATTCTTCTCATCTTTTTTTGTACAATAACACTACATAATTAAAGTTACTTAAAGTTTTATTAATATACGTACTTTATTGAAGGCAATTTCTAATGCTCTGTAGATTAAAATGTAAATAGCCAATTACTTTTAGCATATTTTGTACACCAATTTGTAAAAATTACAATAACAGAACGTCGAGAAAAAATAATTTACTACGAATTGTAATAAATAATAAATCTGTTGTTTTATAAAGTATTTAGAAATTAATTTTGAAAGTATTAACTTTAGAAATATTTTCTTGAGCACTTTAAATGTTCACATAAACTAGAGAAAACCTTTTTTTTTATAGATTTTAATATTTTACGAATATCTAGTTTATTTTATATGGTTTAATTTTTTGGTCTACAACTATTTTTATTTACTTATAGACATTCTCATTACCTTTTAGATTTTGAATATGTTATGTTACGTTCTCTAGGATTTTAAAATAAACACAAAAAGCTAAACTTTTTTACCGAATCAAATATTCATCTCTTACTTTTTATGAACGTTATGACTAAAAGTAGAAAATTCATTCATATTTTTATTAAATACTTATAGAAAATTTTGTATTTTTTTTTAATCGTTATTATAGTTTTATTATAGCTTATTGTTTTATTAATTTTATTATTATTTTCTTTAATATTAGAATCATAATAAAATTTATATTACTATTTCGTAATTTATTTTCTTGGTATCATCTATCTCTGGTAAAAGATTTGTAATAATCATATAAATGAAACAATAATAATAATAATAATAAAATGTTTAAAGCATGGAGTTATATTTATAATTATGTTACAATGTACAACTATGAAATTTTCTCGATTCTTATGTAATAAAATAAGTTTTTTTTTTTATCAACGTGTTAAGAATGTTTCGTCGTGTTATTTTTAAAATATAATAAATATGAATGAAGTGATAGGGAAATTGATATAGAAGAATATTAAAATTGATGTTAATTGAATTTTCATTAAAGTGAAGAAATCATTAAATAACTTTAACGCATTTAATTAAAGTAATATTAACATTGACATTATGAGAAAGGTTATGACTGACCTGCAAACAATGGTTAACAAACTTTTCTATGATTGTATAACTCTGTGATAAATATTACAATGCATCTTAAATTTCCGAATAATTAAATAACTGACGTACTATTTAAATGAAATATATTTATTTATATCACCATGTTATCATGAAAGACAAACGACAGTTTAATATTTTTCTATAAATGATAGATTCATATTTCTGTAAGTACTTATTGACGCATATAATAAAATAAACTATAAAACAGTTTTTCACAGATTAAAAATGGAAATGTAATATATATATATATATATATATATACATATGAGAGGTAACACGTTTCTAGAATGTATAAAATATTTTAAATTTGGCAGAGTTATAAGAAAACGTTAAAAAAATACTTTAACATATTGTTTATGATAAATATTTGACTATAAAAACTATATTTTTATATTAGTTTATGTCGATAGTGTACGGACTGTATGAGATTTCCAGTGAACAACGATTTTAAAAAATAAATTCTAACTGAACATATTTTTTATCTAATAATTCAATATCTTGTTAAAACAAATTAGAAAAAAATCTAATATCTTTTTAAATTTTTATTTTTGAGGAAGCATTATATTATTATTATTATTATTATTATTATTATTATTATTTATGAAAAAGAGAAATATTAACTTATTCATTTTTTATAATAAAAGAGTTGAAATTGAAATAATTCTTTAAACTCTTAAGATAATATTATTTTTTAAATATTAAAATTTCTATTAAAAGATATTTAAAATCAATTAATATTCATTATAGATTTTTCGCTCCTGTGATGTACTAAAAATAGTTTTTAGATGGATCCCATAAAATTTTTAATATTATTTAGAATATCAAATAAAGTACTTTTATATAATTCGAAATACGAGATCAAATTAACCATTTCCTCTCTAATCAATATTATACTATAGTTTATGTACCATTAGGTATATTTTTAATTAAAAAATAAAATAGATTATTGAAAAGCAATATATGTTGTTGAACAAAAAATTAAATATTAAAAGATCACAAGGCATGTTATGAATCTTATTGGCTTTGCTCATAAAACATTTCACCACGTATTTTATAATTTATACATCCAAACTATGATTTCATTTAGGTTGGCGAATTTTTAATTCGCCAAATCAATTTCTTATAATATTTCAAACTGACTCATACTGTTTTATATATGCACGCAGTGTTAATAATTTATTTTTTGTTATACTATAATTGACGGCGATATTACAATTTATAATACAATTCTAAATTGTTGGCATTACATTTATTACATTTGTGTGTTACAAAAACATATTTGGCCTATTGTTCATTTATTACAAATTGCACACTAGTTATCAAAAAATCATCATTTTGTCACAGGTCACGTTTACCTTAATGATCGTACTTGAAACTGTTTATTACCAAAAATGTTTTATTTATGTGAAATCTACACAACGACTTTAATTCTATTTATTTTAATGAAATTTTTTAAATTGTAACCAATTAATTGGTTGTTCGTCTGTATAATTTCAATTGACATTTAATAGTCTTTAATCAACCAGTGATCTTAAATTGTTATAATTCGTATTTGTAATAACTTCCTTAATGTATACGAATGCTCCTCTCAATTTGCAAATTTCATTTATTTTTAAATCTATCGTAAATATCGTTTTAATACTTTGGTAAATTGAATTTTTAATTAGACTGTACATTAATTGTAAAAAAAAGTTTAATACTTTAATAAAAACATATATTGTAGGTTATAGAAAACTTTTGTAGGAAATTAGTTAGATAAAACTGAATTATACGCTACTTCATTCTAATTTTTACATGACAAAAAACTGGTTCAATATAGATGCCAAGTCGAAATCAATATACAATGCAACATTAGAAAATGTCATTTACAAAAATTTTATATCAGTGGCTTAAAAATCGTTAAATTTATTTTATCCTCGTAAAAGGCTTTTTAGTTTAAAAGTGAACAAAATCTAAACGTCGCATAAATTAAATAAGTTCACAAGTACAACGAAAACGGTCATACCAAATTCGATACTGATTATTTCACAAAATATCATCTTAAATATCATATATTACTTAGGTCGAATATCTTGTCAAATTTATTATTAGTTTCCAATACTGCAAGCTCGAGAATTTCGCATTGTCGGCAACAAAATTTAAGTTATTAAAGCCAACTATTCCCTTCATATATTGACAATCCTAACGATCTCGCATTAAATATACAAAACGTATCCACAATGAAACGTAAAGTCGATAAACAATAGAAATGTTTATATAATTGGAGGTAAGGCCAATTTATTATTAAGTATGCAGAGATTTCGCCAGGTGGCGCCTCGAGCGCCTCGCCAAACCAACAGCGTTTTACTCCCAATGTCGGCCACTGATTTGCCGTTGGCGAGGGCTCGTCATCGCACTCACTCTCTCCTCGCCTACTCTCCACGCCCTTTCGGACTTCTGCTTCTTGTCGTGCCTGACGGCCAGACGGCAACTTTTGTCTTTGCAGTCACGCGACTAACCTTCATTATCAGCTGTTCTCGGCGAATAATTCCCGCTGATTCTCGCTCGATCCTGCGCTTTTCTTACTCAGACCTTCGCGAATCCACTTTCGATTGCATGCTTTTACACGCGATCTTACCACGTTCGCGATAATCATTCTCAAACGTACTTTGTAGCGTATGAATGCGATTATGATCTCATTTTTAGTTATCACTAATAATTGCTATTCACAAAAAACTATTTCTACATTCTGCATATTCGGTATCGTTCATTTTGTTGCTCTAGAAATATTTATTTCTAATGAAAATTCAGTTCAAATAAATAATCTGCGTAAATAAAGCTAATTCATCAAATGGTGAATTCCGCTGATATTTCCGGTGTAACTTGGGAAATATTGTATAATTTATTTCTTGAGTTATTAATGACATTTCGATGTCAAGCAGCTTTATTAAATGAATTATTGAATTATTATCGTTCGTCGTC